AAAAAATTCTTTGTTATAAGAGATTTCTCTCTGGGAAAAGTAGATTTACATGACATACAAACAAAAAGTATTCGTTAAAATCTATTAAGAAAGAATCTGGTCAGCCCTCTCAGTTTTGAATGGATGGGAAGAACCCCAGAATCTACAGTATAAAGTAGAAGGAGAGTAGCCACCTACCAGAGTTACCCAGAACCCTGAGTCAAAGAGCTATAGCAGCTGCTGTTGCTTTCAGGAACTCTCGGCCTGCTGTGGTGGGGGCAGGTTGAGGGAGAAGACACCTGGTGAAAGAATGGAGGGAAAGCCCAGGGGAGGAGCGCAGACACAAGGCCCCTGATGAAAGTCAGGGACCAAATTGGGCAAGATCTCTCTACTGGGATGGTTTGGCCTTTTTTTTTTTTTTTTTAAAGTCTGGTCTCAGTAGTAGAAACTTCCTGGAAATGTGCCCTTGGTGACTCAGTTTCTAGGAGTGACTCTTCTTAAAATCTGTTAGCCTTTTAGTTCTTGGGATCCACCTGTCTCCCTTCTCTGGGCCCTGCACCCCAACATCTTCATCCTTTCCCACTGAATTCCTGGGACACCCCAGTGTAGAGTCCACTACTCACTGGCCAGGGCCCCATGCTTTATGCTCAGCCATCTTTCCTCCCCAGCTTGGTCCCTCCAGCCAGCAAAATTAGCCCACTATAGTTTTATTTCCTCTCAGAACTAATAAAATGTATTTTTTTCCCTTCTTTGTAAAAATGAGGGGTTATGGATGAGGGGTCATTATACATAATGTCAGACTTTGTTGATATATTGGTTAGTTTTGCTGAACTTTTTTCTTTTTTAATTTTTTTATTAGTGTTAGCTCTTTGGCCAGGGGAAGGGAGGGAGAAAGATGAGACAAGGAAATAAATGTGCCTCCCTCCTTTTTCAGAAGGGAAAGTTCAGTGAGTAGATCCCCAGATGTCTATGAAAGAAAAACAACAAGCCGTGATAAAGCTTTTTATAAAAAATGCTCTTGGTTCCCCCCATGACTGGCTGCCCTTTGTCTGGTCCTCCCTTAGCCCTTTGTGTAACTTACTTTTGTATGCACTCTTCTGAATTGTAAGCTCCTCAAGGCACTTTAGAGGAATGAAGTTCTGAGCTGAGATTTCATCAGGATGGAAACTCCCTCCATGGATGGAGATGATGGGTCATTTTTAAATGTATAATCTGAGAGTTGCCTGAGGCACAGAGAGGTGAAGTAATTTGCCCAGAATCACACAGTCAGGATGTCAGAGGCAAAACCTGAACCCACATCATCTTGACTCTTCCCACCACCCCAACCCCCCACGCTGCCTCTTCAGAGTAGGTTTAGTTTAAATTGACCTAAACTGAGTCCATCATGATATAGTGGCAAGAACCCTGAACCTAGAGTCAGCAAAGAGGGGTTCAGATGCTTACCCTGTTTCCTACTGCTATGATCTCAGGTAAGTTCCTTCTCCTTTCTCTGGGTCTCATTTGCCTCCCCAGTAATAGTGAAGGATAGGACTAAAATGTCTCGAAGTTCTCTCCCAGCTCTTAATGCTGTTGGGTGGACCTCTAATAAGAGGGTTCCAGACTTGTAGACAAGACGTTTGGAGGCCAAGGAGAGCCTTCTGCCGAGCCCATCACATCCCACCCTGAGAGTGACCTGTAGGTCCAGGTGCCCTGTCCGCATTCTCCTCTTGAGAAGTTGCCTTTTGGATACGGTGAGCATCTGCAGAACCTGAGGCTGGAAGGACCATTGAGTGGCCTGGCTCTGTGCTGCCTCTCCCTGCACATGGCAGTTTAGCCAGACTGGCTTTCTTGCTGTTTTTAATGCCCAGGCCACTATTGCCCACCTGTCTGTCTTGGTACTAGCTGTGCCCCTGCCTGGAATGTTTTCCCTCCTCGCCTCCGCCTCAGAATCCTTGGCTTCCATCAGGTCAAATGTCACTTTCTGCATGGAGTCTTTCCCCCCACTCCTTGTGTATGTTTCATATGTGTGCGTGTTATTGTGCAACCCCCCCCATTAGATTGTAAACTCTTTGACATATGTCTTTGGCTTGTCTTTTTGTCCCTGTCCCCTCAGAGATTGTGTAGGGCACTGGGGATTGAGCGTCTTTTATTAAAGATACTTTGCTGGACCATTCAGTCCTGACAGATGAAAATATCCTGTCCTTTCCAGAGCAGCTGGAGCTTTCCAATTACTGCTTAAGGAAAAACTGCCTAATTCTAAAGATACATAGACATTCAGCTCCCTAGACATCTGCACAACTGGAGTCCCGGGGTCTGAGTGACAGGGTTTGCTGTGAACCTAAAGATCCTCCTTTTCTTTGAGTGGTCATTACTTTGTGCTCAAGGCAGATGCCTGGGAAATATTTTGATAGGCCTTCTCAATAAGAGTTTGCTGGGAAACCAGATTTTTATTGTGAGCCAGACCAAGAGGGAAGCCAAGCTCATTCCTCCCAGGGCTACTCATTGGGTTGGGCAATAGCCTCGGGTCAGGCCAACCTCGCCTGCCGTAGTATCTAAGACAGCAGTGGCAGAGCAGAACATGTGCCGAAATTGGAGTCCAGAGGCTTAGCTTTGAGGCCTGGCAGTGTAAGTGACATAAGCAAGTGACTTCTCTCTGAATCTGTTTGCCCATCTGCAAAATGGTTATATGTCTTCACCCTGACTGATGTGGTATAAAGCTTTATGGAAAAGTGAACTGTGCTCTGGGGGAGGATGGAGCTTCTTAACCTTCCTGATATGGTTAGGGAAGTCTCCTTGTCATGGGGCAGCTAGGTGGTGCAGTGGATAGAGTACCGGCCCTGGATTCAGGAGGACCTGAGTTCAAATGCGGCCTCAGACACATAAGACTTACTAGTTGTGTGACCCTGGGCAAGTCACTTAACCCCATTGCCTACCCCCCCCCCCAAAAGAGGAAGTCTCCTTGTCCCTTGAGCCATGGAGCCAGTCCTCTTGGCCTTGGAAGGGATGGTCACTGGTGTAGCCCATCCTGGTCTTTCTGGCGTTGAGACCCTTGGGCTCACCTGAGCAGTTGGGACGGTAGCAAGGATTGTGTGGATTTGTTTGGGATGCAGCACTGTCCCATTTTCAGCCAGCATCCGTGGGTGTCCTGGTGCCTAGCCCTCTTAGACAGCTGGCACGGGTTTGTCAGACTGCTCAATGGCCCAGGCCCTTGCAGGTGCTGGGAGAGCTTTCTTGGATCTAGTTCAGATGTCCTCAGGATTTCAGACTGACTGCTTCTGTTCTCCCTTGCTTGGGGTGCTTCCCTTCAGATACTCTGCATCGGCACTGGCCCACACAGTCCTTCCTCAGAAGCCACTGAAATTCCTCTGTGAGCCTTTGTGTCCTCGTGTGTAAAATGAGAATAATCATCAATAAATAAAACACCCCCCCCAGCTGTCACAGAGAGAGAACATCGCAATAGAAGTTCACAGCGTTCTCATCGTTGTCGCCTGCCTCTAAACCAGACTGCCCACAGCTGCCAGAATAGCTCTTCTCTCTTATGTTTTATGTCTTCATTCCAAATCTGCTGCATCTCCTCACCAAGCCAAATCCAAATTCAGCCTGGCATTCAAGGCCTATTACCCTGCTTCCCCTGTCCCTATCCAGCCCATATTGAAATATTGCACTCATCAGGGTTCCTGTAGTCACACTGGGCCACAGTACTTGTCTTCCTTCTGAACTTTTCTGTCTAAGTCTAGGTGGTACAATAGTGCACAGAGTTCTGAACATGGAGCCAAATAGACCTGAGTTCAAATCCAGCCTCAGAGACTTTCTAGTCATGGGACCCTGGGCAAATTACTTCTTTCTGCCTCAGTTGCCTCATCTGTAAAAAGGGAATAATAAAAAAGGCACCTACCTCCCATGGTGGTTGTGAAGATCAAAGAAGATATTTGTAAAGCACCTTAAAGTGCTGTCTTAAATGCTGCCTCTTGCTACAGACTAGAAACTCCTCAGGGGCAGAGGTGGTTCCATTTGTGTCCCCACTGCCTCCCTTGTATGCTCTCTAGCACATAATAGGCCCTTAAATGTGTTGCAAAGATCAAAGGAGATAAAACTTGTAAAGCACTTTGCAAATCTTAAAAGCCCTACCCAAATGCTATCATCATCACATGTAGTGGAAGGAGCCGTGGTTTCGAGTCTAGAAGCTCTGGTTCAGTTCCCAGGCCTGGCACTTTCCTAGCTGTGCAAACTTACAAGCCATTTAATAATTCTGAATTTCAGTTTGCTCTTCTGAAACGAGGGTAATGTTACCCTGCCTGCCTGCCTTTTAGGATTTTGTGGAGAAAATGATCTGTCAGTCGTTAACGTGCCATGAAAATGGCCTGACACGCTAATAAAGGCTTGTGGGTTGGTTATTATCCTTCCCATGTCTTTGCCTCTGCTGTATAATTCCCCTTCCCTCTATTCCATAAATCTGTCTATCAGTTTCTGTGGGGCTCAGCTGCAGATTCACCTCCCCCAGAAGCCTTCCATGACTAACCTCCCCCATCCTTTGTCTCCCTCAGCACTGATCTGTCACCTCTGCAACATCACTGCACGGTGGAGAGACATCGGGCCTCATAATCCAGAAAGCCTGAATTCACGTTCCACCTCTGACTTGTTCTGGCTGGGTGACCCTGCACAAGCCTCTTAGCTTCTCATTGCCCTAGACAGCTCTCTAAGCCTGGAAGTTTCAGAGCTCAAATCTGCATTGATAGACTGTTTCCCTCATTGAGAGATCTCCTGTACCCAAAAGTTCAGTCTGTCTACTCCCTTCCCCCTGCCCCCCTCCAAAAAAAGAGATCTGTAGCTGCCATACCTTCTTTATGTTTGTCTTCTCCCTTTGTCTAGAGTTCACATTTCTGGAGGGCAGGAGCTGGGTGCCCCACAGTAGTCAGGATGATCCTGGGCTTCCTGGGGCTTAGTAAATGCTCATTACATGGGTGATATTAAATATAAGCATACATGTGTGGAATGCAAATGATCAGATCTGCTTTGATGCCAGACCATCTTCTTTTTTTCAGGATTCCTCGTACCTCGATGACCCTTCCCTTTTCTCATCTGATTCCCTCTCGGATATCGCTGACTCTACAGATTTCCAGCCTGCTGAAAACCTCAACCAGACTCTCTGGGATGCGAACACTCCATCACAAAACCAAGAAGAGGTCAGTTATTAATGGTGAATAGCGTTTAGAAAATACAGAAGTGAACACTGAGAGCTAGCAAGGGTTCACTTAAAATAAGACAAGACAGGCAAGCCTGATTTTCTTTTTTGACAATTACTGGACAGTTAGACTGGTGGATTACGAGAATGAGATAACAAAAGATCTAGCATGGCTGAATTTCAGCGAGGCATTTGTCAAAATCATTGACAGTTTTTTTGTGAACAAAATAGAAATGTGGGATGGGTGGTAGTACAGTTGGGTAGATTTGGAACTCACTGAAAAAACTGTGTTCTCCACAGCTGTGCAGTCAGATGACCCTTTTCTAAATTTATTCCTTGATTAAAATTCCTTTCCCACTTTTCCCCTACATGGAACATAATTATTTTGGTCATGTCTGTTTGTAACAAAGTGGCTTAGAAGTTCATACCTCATGAGAGTTAGAAGAGACCTTTTGAGATCATCTGATTCTACCCCCTCATTAGACAGATGAGGAAACTGAGGCCAGAGACAAGGAAATGACTTGTCCAGAGTCACATGAGAGTTAGAACTTGATTGCTTCTTGCTGGTATATGGAGACTTGCTCCATATTTATCCTCTCTTCTCTCTCCAAATGGGTAACTTTGTGCTATTCACTTTCTACATTAAGACTTCTCAAAGGGTTAAATTAAGCTACTTATTTTGAGGACTCTCTTATCTCCTTGCAAATACATGTGTGGTTTTTGTTAAACCTACTCAGCTTTTCCTATGGAGCCTAGAAAATGTGGAGATTTGAAGTTGGCTCTGGTGAGATTGACTGTTTTTCTTTTTTTTCCCCCAATTTTTAAACATTTTTATTTAAAGTTTTGAGTTCTAAATTCCATTCTTCCCTCCCTGAGATGGTAAACAATCATATAGGCATATAGGTTATACATGTACAATTATGTAAAACATTTCCATACTAGTCATATTGTACAAGAAGACTCGAATAAAAGAAAAACGAAAGAAAGTGAAAAATAGCATGCTTCAGTCTGTATTCATTCAATATTAGTTCTTTTTGTGGAGGCAGATAGTATGCTTTATCATTAGTCCTTTGGGATTGTCTTGGATCGTTGTATTGCTGAGAGTAGCTAATTCATTTACAAGTCTTCATCAAACAGTATTGTTGTTTCTATGTACAACATTCTCCTGGTTCTGCTCACTTCACTGTGCATCAGTTGATGTAAATCTTTCCAGGTTTTTCTGAAATCCACCTGCTTGTCATTTCTTATAGCACGATAATATTTCATTACAGTCATTTACCACAGCTCGTTTGGCCATTCCCCAACTGATAGGCATCCCTTTGATTTCCAGTTCTTAGCCACCACAAGGAGAACTGTTGTGAGTATTTTTATACAAATAGATCCTTTCCCCTTTTATTGGATGTCTTTGGGATATAGACCTAGCAGTGCTATTGCTAGATCAAACAGTATGCACAGTTTTATAGCCCTTTGGGCGCAGTTCCAAATTGCTCTCCAGAATGGTTGGATCAGTTCACAACTGTATATCAGAAGACCTAAGCTCTGACCAGACAGAATTTGTATGACTACAGGCAAGTTCCTTACCCTCTCTAAGTCTGTTTCCCTGTCTGTAAAATGGGTATAATAATACATTGTGTGACCTTGGGCAAATCCCCTCCTCCAAGGTTTTCCACATCCATAAAATGAGAATGTTGGCGAGCATTAATTGAGCATCTGCTGTCTGTCACGCGCTGTGCTAGGCACTGTAATGCAGAGGCCACCATAAAATAGGGCTTCTCCTCCAGGAATGTACACTCTCCTGAGGCACAAAAGCATTTCTAACAATAAACAAATACAAAATACATACAATAGAAATGCAAAGAAATTTGGTTGCTGCTGAGAGGGCACTAACAGCCAAGGATGGGTAGACAGGGGAAGGAGTGGGAGTCAGGAGGCCTTGTGTGTGGGATGGTGCTTAAAGGGAGCCAGGGATTCCAAAAGGAATCAGTCTGTAGAAATCGTTCTGCTCTGAGCCACTTGATTTAACACGAGGGTCCAGAGGGCCAGGCACTTTAACCTTATGGTCAGATATAATGGCATTTAAAACAAACAAACAGAAAGTACCCGCAAGTTGTTATTTTCTCCAGTAAGCTGCTCTGGTAATTATGACTCAGTCTTCCAGTAATGGGTGGGTTTTTTTTGTTTTTTGTTTTTTCTCTTTTTTAAGAGGGAGAGAGATTTTGAATGTATGCTTTACTTCTCATATTTCTCTGGCCTTTTGATAGGATTGATGGCTGTAGAATGAGCCACCCTCCTCTCTAGACCCAAGCTGTAGGAATGAAAAGACAATCCCAGTGCCCACAACAAGCATGGTGAGAGCCCTGCTAACTGGTGTCAGGAGCCCTCCGGCAGCACCGTACTCAGACCTGAGCCCTGCCTTTCAGGACAGTCCACATCACACCTGAGCACAGCCTCATCTCAGTGGTTAGGGCTCTCGAGCAGGGGTAAACAGGGTCCATTAAAAGAATTGGGCGTGTTTTCCTTAAAGAAGAACATAAAATTAGACTCTCCCAGAGAAGAGGAAAGACTTGTTCTTTGTTAAGCTCTGAGAAAAGTCAGTAGTAGCATAATATCATGCAAAGGGTACTTGATGTGAAGCCAGGGGACTTGGGTTCAAAACTCAGAATCAGAAGGGGCACATAAGGTGCTGGATGCCCTTCTCTCTCCAAGTGGAAGGTTCCAGACATTGCACTTTAGGACATCTCTGCCTTTGTCCCTTCTTGAAGCCTGCATCTGCTCTTCTGCGGCATTGGCCATCATCCAGTCCTGCGGCGTCTCGTCTGTTCTCTGTGATCTTTCCCGGGTGGCTAACTCGTCAGTCACATTTGCCGGTTCTTTCAGTCCCCAGGAATGTCATTCCTCTGGACCTGGCGACTTGGGCTCCTTTGCAACAATTATCTCCCTGCTGCTCTCGGGGATCAGCCCATGATTAGCCACTTCTGTTCTGACCTTTCCAGTCTATTAGTTATCGTCCTTGACACAGGAAGCAGAAGTGCATTTGAAATTGAACAATTCTGCCTTCCCCCATCATCCTTTATTATCATCCCATCTGCACTGAATAACAGGTTTTCTCCTTAGCATTAGAATGTGAGCTCTATCTCCAGCACTAAGCACGGTGCTTTGGCTGTGCTAAGTGCTTAATAAATGCCTTATTCACTCCTTCATTCAACACTCCCCCCCCTTTTTTTTTAGCTTTTAACTGTCTTTCACTAACCTCAGCTTATTTTGAGCCTAAATGTTTCTGGTGCTATTCTGGCCAGGCCCCTGTGATGCTTTTGCATTCTTCCTCTGTTATTGGCCCCTTCTTTCATCTTCTGTTCATGTCTTTTTAAACTTAAGTTGCTTGCATGAGTTTTCTCCATGTCCACATTGACCTATTTACACTGGTCTCACCTTCTCTGTTCCCCTCATCAGAATTATTTCTCCTTGTGACATAACAGCTTCATTCCTAAGAGTTTTCTGTCCTTCCTGGGTTGAGGTATCCAGTAAAACTATGGTCCACAGGATACCCTTGATTCTTCCTCTGAATGCTTTAAGATCAGCTTTCTCCAAATCTAGGATGTACATCAGACTTGACTCGGCTTTTCCTTTTCTCTTTTCCAAATTCTAAGACAGACTAGTCATCTTCACTGGAACCACCAGTAGGTTAGGATGGTGAGAATCAGCTCCAGAATAGCTCTTCTTCTCATTGGCTCTTCTATATCTTGAAAGCAAATGTCATGCCTTGATGTCTGCTTCCCAAAGTCCTCATCTGTTTCCTCCCTCAATCTGAGTGGTTTATAGTGTTAGCCTCCATGAGAATGTCCCTTCCGTTTCTGCTTACATTGATCACCCAAATACTCTTTGCTATGTTTCCCCACTCTGGGTCCTGGATTTCTTCACATGAGTGCTGTATGTAGAATGCTTTTACCTATATTACCACTCACCTTTTTAAACTTTGTTTCTCCTTTTGAATAAGGTGTCCTGTTCCATAACTAGATTTCATTCATAGGGTTTCATTTCCTCAAACCTCAGAGATACCAAAGGGAGCAAATTTACATTCTTATTTGTTATAGGATCTCTAGACAGGACACAGTTTGCCCTAAGGGTCCCAGATGTGAGGAGGGAGGCATTTACTGGCCTGTAGTGCCTTGCTGCCCTTAGGGTCCCTTTGCCATAGTCCAGTACCTCTTCTCCCCACCTTTCTAAACCCCAGGGCCAGACTGCCCTTCTTCCCTTATGACAGCACCCACAACTGGACTGCAGGCATTCCATGCGTGTTTTTGACAAAACATTTTTAGTTACAGCTCTTTCTTTAATTGATCTTGCTGGTTAGCCTCATTTGGGACATTTGTGTATGGGGATCTGAGGCCATGGAGATTTTTTTTTCTTGAGTAGGGGCAGGCTTCTTTCTTGGATGTTTTCTCTGAATTTCTGGATTTTGATTTTTACTCCTCACATTGTAGCAACTTTCTCTGGAGTCTAGTCTGGTGAATATTTTTCAGTAATTTTCTTTGTCCTCCTTTTTCAGTTTACATTAAGCTGAAATTAAAATTTCAAGACTGCAGCAAAATACAGTCACTATCTTCCCCCCACACACACACATTAGATGCAGACACTGTAAATGGACAGTGAATTGGGCTCAGAATTGAGTAGGAAAGTGGGTTACATTGCCTTTGGTTAATTGCAGAGGCCTTTCAATAATCTCAAGTTTCTTCCTGAAAGAAAATCACATCTTTTCAATACCAATATTTTTCTGATGTTGTACGACTGCAACTGTAATCTCTACAGAATTGAAATTTAGTATTGTCCAAAGGGCAATCAGGAGGTGCCTGGTGAGCATGAATGGGTGCAGTATACTTGCCATACATTGCAAATAAGAAATTATTAAGGATCAAAGTAAAAAATGTTATCAGAAAGACACGTAAGTGCAAAAGGTGAGCTGGTCATGTGGTGTGAGCAAGGGATCACTCAAGGATAACTTTTGGTAACCTCACGCTGTCAGGAGATTCAAGGAAAGCTTCCAGTACCTTTGGTTCATTCTCTGTGGCAAACTTAGAGGAGATATGGAAAATACTCAGTAAGATCAGCAACCCTGAATTACTTCTGACCTGCCTTGTTGGAGGGAATACCCATATTAATGAGATTATAGATCCATTGAAGTATTTTTAGGTATACTGCATCCCTGGCCAGAAGCTTGTCATTACTGTGTCTTAAGCCAGAACTCAGAAATCTCCATTTCACTCTCAAGCACCATCTTCTTATCCAGCTGTCTGCATTCCAGATTTGACTCTCTCTTTTGAAGCCCTTACCTTCAATTGGCAGCAATGGTGAAAAGCATTGCCTGGTTCCTAAAAGCTTTCGTTTTTGCCTGAGCTTTATAATCTTAACTCACTCCGTATGAGGAAGAACTTTCAAATAGCTTTCTATCTAAAAGTGTAATGTGCTGCTTTGTGAGATAAAAAGCTCCAGGTCTCTGGTCCCTTCAGGTAGATCCTGTCAGGGATGCTGTAGACATATTCCTACAGTAAGTAGGGCTTTGGACCTTTCTATGGTCCTATCCCATTCTGGGACTCTGTAAGTGAATTAGATAGCCCAAATAGTCATATCACCTGACTTCCTTGCCTGATTCAAATGAGCCTATTTCTGGTTTTTGTTTGTGTGTTTTGTGAAAACCCCAATTCCATCAGAGCTCTGAGTCTCATCTCTTCAGTCTTCTTCCTGGACGTAAGCATTAACAGGGTCCCCTTTTGATAGGGGAAGCTGATCTCGGCACATAGTCACATCAGACTGGTGGCTAACAGGAGGATGGGGCTGTTGCCCAAGGACATCAGTTTATGCTGTCTGCAGCTCATAGATATGTCCCAGCTTTCTTCTGTGCCTTTCTTGAATGTGGCAGAGCATGGGTAGGCAAGCCAGCACCTGTCCTCCCCGTTTGCCTTTATCTGAAGAGGCCGGACTCCTTGCTACTTATTGGATGTGACGTGGACTCTCTAGGAGCTCGATGATGTGTTAGAAACTCTACTCTGGCTTCCCCAGTAAGGAAAGATGTTCCAAATGGTCCTCTCTCCCCTTTTGCTCCTGTTTCTTGGGGATATTTTTAGTTTTGAGTGAAGTTGAAAGATCACTGGATTTGAAGTTAGATGCTGTGGTTTGGAATCTGCTGTAGTAGAGGCTGAGATGGGTGCTCTGTCCTTGCTCCACGGTCCACCTGAAGGAGGGAGGCTCACTGATGGAATTCCCATTCATGCGGAACACACAGGTTTCTTGACAACTAGCAGCACTGAGAAGCCAGTGAGGAATGCTGTCCTCCTGAACCTGAGTCAGAGGGAAAGAGACTTAGTCTTACAGGCCCTTTCCCTAAGGAGGTGATTATCTTTCTTACTGAGAAGCAGCTTGAACTGGGTGCCAAGGGAGGCTCAACTCCCAGCTCTGGTACATATCAGTTGCGGGACCTTGGGAAAATCACTACGCTGTTTGCCTCAAATCCCATGACTTTCTCCTTCGGCTGACCTCAGCGTTACACTGGGATGGTTACACCCTGAATTTCGCCTTTACTCGATGTTCCATTCCCCTCGTCAAACACTCCAAAATTCCTCTCTCTGACCCTGACCTCATCATTCCGTTATTCCTTACGCCTCTTCTTTTCCCTCATCAAGGTCTCCAATCCCTCAGCCCCTCAGTACTATCTCAGGCCATTGCCCCATCCTCTGAATTCACTTGTCGGCATCTAGGTGGTACAGTGAATAGAGTGCTGGGCTTGGAGTCAGGAAGACCTGAGTTCAGATCCAGCCCAGACACTTAATAGCTATGTGACCTTGGGCAAGTCACTTAACCTAGTTTGCCTTAGTTCTTCATCTGTCAAATGAGCTGGAGAAGGAAATGGCAAACCACTTCAGTATCTTTGCCAAGAAAACCCCAAATGGGATCACCAGGAGTTGGAAACAACTGAAACGATTCAACAGCAAATTCACTTCTCCCTTTCTCAGTCTAGATGCTTAACTAGTTCAGCTTCACACTTGAAGACCTTACAGCCTCGTCCTTTGTCCAACCCACACCCGGATTATTCTCATCACCCACCTCTTCTACTCCGACTCATACAAGTGCTAAACAGAGCTGGAGGAAAGCATGCAGCTGGGCTGACTAGGGACACTACCAATTAATGTTTTTCGGAGTTCTCTGGCCTTCACTGCAACAAAGCAGTGCTTTTACTCCTCCCTAATTGATTTTCATCCCACTCCCCGCAGAAGTTGTTCTCAGCCTTCTCTTCTCTTCTCAGGCCTCCCACCTGTCCGTCCCTGCTCTCTTCCCTCTGAGGACCTCAACTGATAGATACACGTCACTAAAACATGGTGGCTCTTCTACTCGAACTCCTTCTTCCTTTCTCTCCTTCTCCAAACCCCTCGGCATCATTCCGTGCCCTCTCTGTTCAAGTCTCTGATAACGAAGTGGGACCTTTTCCTCTTCTTCTAAGCATAGATCTGACCATATCCCTCTTCTCAGTAAACTCCACTACCCCGTTGTCTCTAGGATCAAGTAGAAATCCCTTTGAAGCCTTTTCCAACCTGGCCCTCACCATTCTTTGTAGTCTAATTGTACATCATTCTTCTTTCCACACTCAACAATCTAGCCAGATTGGCCTCCTCCTGGCTCCTTACACAGAACATTCCTTCTTTTGTCTCCGGCTGCTGCCAGGCCTGGACGGCCCTCCCTCCGCCCCTCGGCCTCGCGACATCACTCGCTTCCATCTACTCAAAGCCTTTCCCCATCACTCTGACTGCCAGTGCCCTCTCTCAAACTACCTTGTCCTTTACTCACTTGGATTTCTTCTATCTCTATTTTGTACATACTGATACATGTATATTGTACGCGTTTCTCCCAATACATAAATTCCTCGAGGGTGGCAGGTGTTTGCCTATGTTGTCTTTATCTCCCCAGCCCCTATTCCAGTCACTAACCCGTAGCAGCCCTGCTTGTGGATTGATTGATTGCTTTGAGCCTTGGTTTCCTCGCCTGTAAAATGAGGGTAAGGATGCTTGGATTATGCTGCCTACCTCATAGAGTGGTTAAAGGGAAAGGTCTCTGGCACCTTCGAGCCTTACTGAAATGGGAACCCTTGGGGAGCCCAGCACTGGGTGGAGCCCAGGCAGCCTCAGTCACAGCACAGCCACAGACAGAATATCCTCTGGCCTTGCCTCGTAGTCACTGTAGATGACTGCCCCCTCCCTCCCAGCCTGGAGCTGGGTTTCGCACGTGTGCCTTGGATCCCAGTTTTCCTGCCCAAGGACATCTGCTCTTCCCTTTTGTCAAGAGAACCCCTTTGCATGCAAGTAACAGTGACCAGGAGTCAGTCGGGGTGGCCAGAGTCTAGCAGAGGCATGGACTTGGTATGGTGAAAGGACCCAAACTGACCTCCTGTCAAATTTCAAGGGGCTTTAGAAGGCTGAGGCATCTGTGTAGAGGGGAAAAGAGGGCTAGATTTTTAAATTTAAGGTATATATTTTTAAAAACTCTGCCGAATAGATGTTCATAGTTTCATATACCATAATGCTCTTTTCTTTAAGTAATTGAAATGTCCACGTATGTTGATGTTTATATCCATAATAAAGGAACAAAAGGACTGGATTTGGCATCCAAGGACCTGCATTCAAATACTGACTTTGTTGTTTACTCTCTATGCGATCTTGGACAAGTCACTTCTTTTCTCTGGGCCTCAGTTTCCTCTTCTGTGCAATGAAGGGATAATCTTTCAGATCCCCTTCTGTTTGTAAACCCTATGATTCTCTGACCTGGTCAAGGAGCCTTTAAGCATAGAATCTGGAATACCCAAGGTGATGGGTTGGAGGACAGACACAGAATGTCAGAGCTGGGATGGCCCTTAGGACACAGGATATCAGACCTTGGAGGGCTCTTATTGATTACCTGGTCTGTCCCTCCTTTGCTATAGAGAAAGAAGCCTTGCTGAGGCCCCAGCAAGCTTAAGTGATGTGTTGGAGACTAAACAAGTAGTTAATGCAAAGGTGCAGTGGAGTGGAGATGTCAGAGGCATCCCCTGTACCTTCTCTGCAACCTTATAATAGTAAGTTGCTTTGCTAAAATAGGAATATGTGAGTGATACATCAGCTCCTCCTCCACTTCTCACAGTAAACCAGATAACTCTTAGAAAGGGGGCAAGCTGCCGAGCCTCCTTAACCTTGGGAGCTCTCCAGAGGTGCCAGTAGGCTGTATCCCAAGCCAGGCCCCAGCCCCATGCTCCCTTAGCAGCCCGTGGCTGTTGGGTAAGGGGTTTCGAGACATGGGCAATTCTAAAGCACCTTTTGTTTAAATTGCTCATTTTCTGCTCTCTTCCAGCTGTTCACATCTACAGGACAGTTTCTAGGTTTGGACAACTCAGTTGCTGCTATCTCAAACACCCCACTGCTCGTGAGCTACCAGGTGAGCTGCACCTTCCTTCCTGCCGCCCCACCCCAGGCCCCAAGTTATTACGCCAGCATAGAGGTTTTTTTTTAAAGAGGGGTGTGTGGGTACACACCCTGGAAAACTCCCTATACAGACACTCCCCTACCAGTTCCACTTCCTTAGAACACACTTCATTTTGGAAAGTCCGGTCCTGAGAGATCATAATATCCTGGGTGGCCGTTATGGTTCAGACAACTTTCAGTTATCTCTTTTACTGGGAGACAGCCCACTGTGGTTCCTTAAGATTCAAGCAGAGAGTTTGCGCCTCCTCCCTCCCCTGCTACAGAAATGCATCCAGGTAGCACGCTAGACTGATGGGAATTATTCTTCTGATTGCCCCGCTTCTGTTGGATGGTCTAGTGGAATTCAATATAAGTCTCAGAATGTCAGAGCTGAGAGGGCCCTTAGAACATGGAATGTCATGGGTGGAAATATATTAGAAATGGGAATGGTTAGGAATAGTTAGCCTGGAATTTCAGAGCTAGGAGAGACCTTAGCACAGAGAATGTCAGGGCTAGGAGGGTCCTTAGAAAAGAGAATGCTTACTTGCAGCCATCACTAATGTGAAAATATGTTTAATAGGGATGTATATGTATAGCCTGTATCAGATTGTGCACCATCTTGGGGAGGGAGGGGGAGAAAAATCTTAAAGTCAAAAGCATATGGAAGTGATTGTTGATAAACCAAAATAAATTGATTTTAAAAAAAAATAAAAGATGGGTAGAACTTCAAAAGTCAAAGGAACAAAGGGAAGCTATTCCAGCAAAGGAAAGACTGTGAACAGAAGTACAGGCCATTCTGGAGGGACAATGAGTTATCCAAGTGTGAGGAGCTATCTGTAGTAAATTGTAAATCATGTAATAGGTCATAGTAGGAGATAAGGCTGAAAAAGTAGAGTCAGGCCATTTTACAGAAGGTCTTGAATGCCAGCCTAACAAATTTGAATTTTACCAAGTAGGCTTTACCCAATGGGAGCCACTGATTTTTTATTTTTATTTTAATAATTCAAATATTCCTTCATTAAAAAAATATGGCCTCTATGCTGGGTTGGTAGTTCTATGTCTCAGTATTTTACCAGTTCCTTTTTGCTGCTCTCTAGGCAAACTCTTCAAAAAGTGTAAAGTATCTGCATTTCAGAAAATCCAACCAGCTCTGAGTATCAGTCTCTGAGATAACCAATTGAATTTCTTATGATGGATGGCTATTACAATTGCAGTGGAAAGCCACTGAGTTTAATTGTTGTAGCCAAAACTACCTACTGTGCCCTCTCAGCTGTTTCTGTTTAGTGTGGAAATCTAATGTAGCTGAAAACTGCTGCTGATTTGTATTAAGTTGAAGTCTGGAACTCCCCTTTCTAATGATAGCAAAATACTCTTTCAATTAAAGGAGAAAAAAAAGAAGAAGAACGGAGAATGTCAGGGCTAGGAGAGCCCTTACAACAGAGGATGTCAGAGCTGGAAGGACCCTTAGAACAGAGAATGTCAGGGCAGATAGGTGGCGCAGTGCATAGAACAGCAGCCCTGACGTCAGGAGGACCTGAGTTCAAATTTGGCCTCACACCAAACACTTGACACTTACCAGCTGTGTGACCCTGGGCAACTCACTTAACCCGTATTGCCTTAAAAAACAAAAAAAAGTTGTGGGATGACTCATGTTGATAGACTTAGCCCTTCTCAGCAATGCAAAGATCTAAGACCAAAGGTCACATGAAGGAAAATGCTATCCACATCCAAAGAAGGAACTATGGAGTTTGAATGCAGATCAAAGCATACTATTTGCTATTTTTTTTCTTCTATTTTGTTATGTTTTCCTCTTTCTTGTGGTTCCTCCTATTGGTTCTAATTCTTCCTTACAACATCACTAATGTGAAAATATGTTTAATAGGAATGTATACATATAGCCTATATCAGATTGTGCACTGTCTTGGGTGGGGAGGTGGGGAGTGTTTGGGAGAAAAATTTAAAACTCAAAAGCTTATGGAAATGATTGTTGGTAAAACAAAATAAATTAATAAAAAAGAAAGTTGCCTGAGACATTTTGCAGTTACATGACACAATCAGGTTTGTATGGCTAGCATGTACCAAAAGCAAGACTTAAACCTAGGTCTTTTTGACTTCGAGGCCAATCATCTACCCCATATTTTTTTTTACCCTCCCTCTGTGTTAAACATAACACACGGTTGTTGATTTGATCTTCTATATCATATTCACTCCAATAAGCTTTTTTTTTCTAAAATATTTTGAAGGGGAAAGGTCACTTGTTTGAAATGTAGAATTCTTATGATTGAAAAAACCTTGACTTCTAATGCATTGTTAGATACCGTTCAATAAATATGCAAAATAAAAAACAAAACAAAACAAAACACAGAGAATGTCAGGGCTAAGAGGGCTAGGAGGGCCCTTAGCACAGAGAATGTCAGGGCTGGAAGGACTCTTACAACAGAATGTCAGAACTGAGAAGGTCCTCAGGACACAAGATGTCAGAGTTAGGAGGGACTTTAGAGATTAACTGATAACCACTCACTCATTTTTACGGGTGATAGGGTTGTGACTGCCTAGAGCCACAGTCTAGAAAGTCTGTGTTCCACGCCACACTCCCTACCTTCTTGTCCTGTGGCCGTTCCATTTTGCTGTCCTCAAGGCTTTCTTTTCTTCCAGTCACAGACTCAGCCAGAGGACGATGATGAGGGTGACGAAGAGGAGACAGAAGAGCTGGGCCACACAGAAACCTACGCCGATTACATCCCATCCAAATGTGAGCAGCTGCAGCTGGCCCTCTTCTTGTCTTTTGGGCTTCATTCTCTCTGCTCTGAGCCTCAGCGGGCTCCGTAGACCTCGGTTCAGTTCAGCATACATCCACCAATCATCTTCTTTCTGCCAGACCTTCTGCTAAGCCATGTGGATACGAAAATATATGTGAAATCAGCCCTGCCCTTAGTCTGCTTACATTCTGTCAAGGGGAGGGGGAGGTTGGGGAGCAATGCACACACAGATAAAGAAATGCAGCAGACAAAACGAAAGCAGTGGAAGCCAGGGAGGCCGCGAGTCTGATGCAGAGAGTTTGAGGAAGTTCCTGGAGGCCCAAGCCTGAGCTGTGTTAGCCAATAAGTGTGATTTCCAGTTCATAAAGCACTTTATATGTGCACAAAGCATTATCTCCCTCAATGTTCATCTCATAGCCGTGAGATCGACCCACTGTATAGTAGAGGAAATTGGGGCTTGGCATAGTGATCTGATTTGCTCCTGAGTGGCAGAACCAGCATTTGTGCCCTGATCCTGTGCCCTCAGATCGGGTTCTGATACCAAAGCCAGGGCTCTTTTCCCTATTTCTCCGTGTCCTCTGCATCCAGCACCCAAGGGAGCGTCTAGGAGCCTCGGAAAAGCTCATTCATTGATAGTCCAGACCATAGATGTTGAGGCCCACGTGACTAAATTTATGCTCTTCCTCATGCCTCCAGTGTTCCCTGCCTCCCTCTTCCTGCACCTTGAAGGGGGGCCCTAGTCTGGAAGTTTTGAGGAACTCAAGAATCTAGAAAGACCCTAAAACCATAGCAGTAACATTTCTAGGCTTAATTTATTTTGAATCACCAACCTAGGGTGTTTGTCACTTTCAGAAGATTACAAGACTTAAGGAAGGAAGCTATGATCTAGTTCAGTCTCTTCATGTTACAGAAAGGTAAATTGAGGCCCAGCAGAATGACATGTCTTGCGCACAGTCACATAAATATTAAGTAGCCAAGCCTGCACTTGACAGCCCCATGCTCTGACTCTGGATCCCTTATCCTCTTTCTTCTTTCCTTGAGTAGGGAGGGAGTTGGAACCACCTGGTTGAGGGGGGAAGGAAGGGCCATGCTGCAACATGGTCCTTTAGCAGAGAAGGCTTATCTTTTCTTTTGACTGTGGTGTGTGTTCCTTCCAGCTAAAATTGGAAAACATCACCCAGACCGTGTGGTCGAAACGAGTACTCTCTCCAGTGTCCCTCCACCCGACATCACTTACACCCTCTCCTTGCCCACTTCAGCGGCCGACAGCGGGTTGTTGTCAGCACTACAGTTAGAAGCCATCACTTATGCCTGCCAGGTATGAGTATGCCCTCGTGCTGTGGGGGGATGGGAAAACCTCTCTGCTGCATCCTTGTCATTTGCCAGTTTTTAACACCAGAAGTGAGTATGATTGACTCATAGAATCTCTGAGTTGGGAGAGACTAGTCACTTACATGATGGACAGTTCCCTTCTACAGCATTCCCAATAAGACAACTGTTCAGCTTCTCTTTTTAAACATATCCAGTAATGGGGAAGTTGCTATGTAGCCTGTTTCATTGTTAGAAAGTTTTCAAAATTTCAAGCCAAAATTTGTTTTTCTGATGCAAGGAGGGTAAAGAAGAAAGGTGATATATGTGCGTGTGTGTGTGTGTGTGTGTGTGTATACACACCTGTGCTTGGAGATGACCATGTGTCACAGTCAGAAGCTTGAGGGCTTGGTTTGGACTGAAAGCAGGTGGGAATACCCAAAACTTGTCCTCTTCCCTCTTGCTGGCATTTTAGAGAGGCGACCAGCCTAAGTTTTCTGCTGGTGTCTTTGATTTACTTTTTATCTGTTGGAAAGCAGCAGTAAAAGTAGAGGGACACGGTCATCATCCTCCTCATCCTCATCCTCCCTCACACTCTGCACCCTTTGGATCTCACAAGGCCCTTCTCAGGCCGCCATGCCAGGGAGGTGGTGATGCCAATACTCAGTTCAGTCATAGGAAGCTGTCAGGTGCTCACTCTTCTCGTAATTGACAGCAACATGAAGTCGTGTTACCCAACGGACAGCGGGCCGGGTTCCTCATTGGAGATGGTGCTGGTGTTGGAAAGGGCAGGACAGTGGCCGGGATTATCTTTGAGAACTTCCTGAAGGGCAGGAAAAAATCCCTGTGGTTAGTATTCCTCCTTCCTCAGTCAATGAATGGCATCCTCCTCCCGCGCCCCAGCTGTAACCATCCACTTGCACTTTGGTTAGTGGGCATTCTGTGCAGGGGGGCCTCTTGTTTCCCCCCCACCCCCCAGTGGGGTTTGGTTGATGCCTCATCATCTTCTGCCTCTCCTCCTCCTCCTCTTCCCTCTCTCCCTCCCCATTCCATGTTATGTCAAGAAGGAAGGGTGGACCAGGGAAAGGAGAGAGCCATCGGGGGATGGTAACCCTGCTGCTTTGGCATCTGCAGGTTCAGCGTCTCTAATGACCTCAAGTACGATGCTGAGCGAGATCTGAAGGACATCAATGCACCTCACATTCCAGTGCATGCTTTAAACAAGGTAAGAACACACCAGGACTCTCTGCAGGAGGAGGCTGGCACACAGAGAGGCTTCAGAGGGAGCTTCCGTTCTTGCCCTTCTCCAGTCCTCTAGTGCCAAGGTCCATTTTCTCCTTCGGGACAAAAGGAGAATAAGCCACGCTGTCCTTTCCTCTCAGTGACTCCTCCCCTGGGGAGGTGTCTGCCTGTAACCAGCTGGCATCCTTACGGGCATTTCCTTTGCCCCTCATCAGGGCAGATAACCAACAGGACAGCCTAGTCAGATAGGTTGTGGTCAAGAGGCCTCAATTCCAGGACTGATCATCTTTTAGTCCAAGGTAAATTGACCAGGTAGTCACCAGCTCTGTCCCTTCCACTCTTAACATGCATACGTTAAGAACAGCAGACTTTGGGGCAGCTGGGTGGTGCAGTGGGTAGAGCACTGGCCCTGGAGTCAGAAGGACCCGAGTTCAAATTTGACCTCAGACACTTGACACTTACTAGCTGTGTGACCCTAGGCAAGTCACTTAACCCCAATTGCCTCACAAAAAAAAAGAAAAAAAGAAAAACAGCCTTTGCCTGTGTCACAGACATTGTGAGGCTGACTCCTGAGGGCTGGACTCTGCCCTGGAGACAGATACCAAAAGAGGAATCTGGCAGGAGGAAAGTCAGTTTGTAATATTGTCTCCATATAAAACTTGACCCATGTGGAGGTAATAACACGTCTGCACATAGGTGGCTATTTATATGTTGCAATTAGTACAGAAGTCATGGATCCCCAGGTTGGAGAAGGAAGTAGCCATCATAGCCAGGTACTCAGTAGCTCTGAGCCCAGGGAGGACTTCGTGATTGTCTCCCCATCCCATAGATAGCTCAGGGTGAGTCTGTGCGTGTGCATGCCTCCACACACCTGCTCTCTCTCCCTCCATGTGTATGACATTATCTTTACACCAGTGGAGGTAAAAATGTCGAACTACTGATGGCAGCAGGGGCCAGAACTGGAAGTAATGGGTGGGAGTTTTGAGGAGGCAGGTTTAGACTGAATATAAGGAAAATCTTCTAACGATTAGCACAGTCCCGGAGCTAGTGAAAGGGGCAGCTTTGGGAAGTCAGAGGATCATCAGATAACAGATGTAGAGCTGGAAGGGGTCTTGGGAATTCACTTATGGAGTCTGACCCCCTCATTTTACAGATGAGAAAACCGAGACCCCGAAGAATAAAGTGGTTTGCTCAAGGTTACACATGTAGTAAGTGGTAGAGCCAGGCCTTTGACAACAAATTCACTGCTTTTGCTGCTGTCACAAACACTCCCCCACCCCCATCCCCCCAGTACCGACCTCTTGCCTGAATGGGTTTGTGGAGCGTATTGTAGAGGGGGCTTTTCTCCAGCGACTAATTGGGCTGGTCCTTTTAGTTCCTCATTTATTCTGTCTCTTTGTATTTAGACTACTCTGTCTCCTGTCATGTGCCAAGTAGGGCTGGGGCCAGCACACTCTGGACCACATCCTCTCCTGTCGTTGTACGCATATTCCTAGAATGCCTATTTATTTTTGGATGAGCCAAAGCAAACCTTGATGGATAGAGAAGGTCGTTTGAGAAAAGGGTGCCATACCCTAGGGAGGCAAGGTGACTTGGATTTCTGTAGCCACGTTCCTACACAGGAACAGTGGGGTAGGGTCTTAAAAAACAGCCCGTGGTATCTGCTTCTGACATCCCCCAGAAGCTCCCCCCAGACAAAGATTAAGACGAGAGAAACGAGTAGAACAGTGGGGGTTCACAGGGGTGCGTGTGTGCGCATGGGTGAAGTCATGTGTTCTCTTATCAAAATATTTGGTCATTTCAGATAACGGGGAATTTCATCAGTCAACAGGCAGCCTTTTGTTGAACTGTGTGGCATAGTAGAAATTCTTTGAGACAAGCCCTGTAGGGGATAGGATTTCATTTCTTTAAAAAAAAATATTGAAAAGCACCTGCATAATTTTTTCTGTTTCTTTTAATTAGCCCAATAAGAGGGGAATTATATTTATGAAAGTAGAAAATAATCAGGCCACTGACCTGAGTAAGTCATCTAACTTTTCTAAACCCGAAAGGGACCCAAGGGAATAACCTTTTGGGGTCAGAGGTACATGGAAGTGGCCAAGCAGAGGTGAGATAGTTAAAGCCATTTTCCATTACTATTATTATTGTTGTTGTTATTGCTAATGTATGTAGCAACATAAGGTTTGCAAAACATTTACATATATGGTCTCATTTGAGAGTCACAGCAGTCATATAAAGTAAGTGCTGTTGTCGTCACCATTTTATAGATGAAGAGACCAAGCCTGAGAGAGGTTAAGTAGCTTGCTTTGGGTCACACAGCTAATAATTGGCTGAGGCTGGACTTGGACGTGCGGTACAGGGCCGTGGGCTTGTCTGGATTTTACAAATGCCATTGTAATGGGCAGGTCTAGTATTTTCTGGAGCAGAGTTGTCAGACACACAGCTCATGCAACCTGCAATGCTCACGAGCATGGCATGAACAAGGTTAAAATATAACTGGGAAATATTTAGCAAAATAAATAAAAATACAGGATAATACAATACAAATCTAATAGAACATAAATAATATTAATATGTGGTTTTCTGTACTACTCCCCACCATAGTCCTCTCTTTCTTTCCTTCCTTCCTTCTTTCTCTTTTAACTAAAGAGAATCTGGCAGAGTTCATAGAGCACTAGAGACACCGAGAAGTTCTCCTCACCACTCCATCACTTAGTAGCCGTGTGAATTGGGGCGTTATTTCCCCTTTCTAGAGCTCATTATCCTCGCCTGAAAATGGGAGCAACACTCATTGTGCTACTTAAAGAAATGTTCCTAAGACAAAATGAATGTCTAGATTGATTTCCTTTACCTTAGAGGTTCATGTCATGGAAGACAAGCTTGCTCACAGACTCCTTTGGAGTCCCCAAGGGGCATCAGCTTGGGCAGGATAGACAAAAGATTTGACCGAGATAAATATTCCTCTTTACGCTCTTGTGACTTTTCCCCCCCTAGATAAAGTATGGTGACACAACTACCTCGGAAGGAGTCCTGTTTGCCACTTACTCCGCCCTGATCGGGGAGAGCCAGGCAGGGGGACAGCACCGGACCAGGATCAGGCAGATTCTCGACTGGTGCGGAGAGAACTTTGATGGAGTCGTATCCTTGGCGTGAGCCCCCGGGAGCAAAGTGTGAGCCAGAGCTGGTCCGGGACAATGCTTTGCACTCTCCCAGTGCTCTTGAGTTTTAGGTCTCACCACAGGAGGATGGGGTGGGTGGCCTGGCCTGGAACTCCTTGAGAGCTCTGAATTTCTCTGGTTTAGGAAGATGAGAGGAAATGGGGGCCAGCTGGTTGTCCATGAACATCGTCAGCCATCCCTGCCTTTGTTCACACAGTCCCTCTTACCACACAGCTGAGTGTCTTCATGGGTAGGATGTTTGTGAGAGACAGAAGTAAGGCCTCATGGCTGGCTCTGACTAACTGGAGTTTTTGGCCAACTGAGGGATAATTTATGCTGATTGGCTAAGCATTTACCTTGTTCTGGGCCCTGCTTTCTACACTGAGGGAGATAGTTTAGTAAATGAGACACAGGCCTGGTTCTGAAGGCCCTCGTGGTCTTTTAGGGGAATATATACTTCAATGCTAGCTAGAATAAGAGGAATTCAAGTACCTTGAGATCAGAGGTAAAAGATCATTTGGTTGGGGGGAGGAGTGAGGGGGACAGGTCCCATTTGTGGGAAGGATGTCCTAGGGCAGAGATGTGCCCTCTGTATGTCAGCCCCTGTAGTGAAGAGCTCTGTAAATGCTCTCAAGTCATCTTTAGGTCCTTGGTCTCATTTAGTCAGTGTTACTACCTTCAAGGACCCCTCCACCCCTTAGTAGGTAGTCCTCAGGAGCACCTGAAGCAAAAACCTCCCAAACTATTTTTGGTGTAAGGGCCTGTCTCCGTGGTTGAGCTTGTCCTCGTGTGTTTAGATGCTCCCTGGATGATTGGCACAGAGACTTTTCAGACTTGAGAGCATTTGCTGAGGATGTCCTCCATTGGCCCAGCTTTTGATAGGCCAAGGTCAATTTTGTGTCCTGCAGAGGTGGCTGAGGAGGACTTTAGTGCAGGAGGGCAGGCACCTCACCGAATCTCGATTGGACAGCTGAGAGTGGCGGTCCCCATTCTGAATGTTAGTGACTGATCACTGCTCAGAATGTAAGATGTAGAGGATCTAGGTGATTGGATTCAGCTGGTATTGACTCCAAGCCATGCTGCAAGCTGTTGTGTTGACAGATTCCCTCTCCCATTCTGACAAGGTCAGTAATGCTTGTCCCATTGGACTTTTGCTCCAGTTTTGAAAGGCTTTGAGCCAAGGAAGGAATCCATCTTCACCCCTCAGTTGGTCAAGGCTGTTTCTTGGCAACAAGATTTGACAGGCACACGTGCATTTCTCCTGACCCCTGGATTCCCGGACACACTGGGGTGTGTCATTTCCTCTCACTGGAGCTAGTCTTCCGGGAAGGGGCAGAAGGCTTAATTGGGTAGTTGGTAGGTGGTGTTTATTGCTCTAGGTTACAGTTCTCAGGGGTAGCACAGCCCAAAGCAATATTATATAGCTCGGTCTAGAGTCCTTCAGTTGATTCTTCTCTGGCCTTGATCCAGCTCAAGAGTCTTCTGTCCAAGGGGAGGTGACCTAGTCGGCTAGTTGAGCATGTAGGTTTTAATATCGTTTCTGGTATCATGAATCAGCAAAAGTTATAGTACTGAAGCTATTAGCCTTTCCCATTACTGTTCCAGAGGAAAGCGTAACATATTTCAGTTAAGGAGCAAGCATTGTAGAGTTCGCCAGTGGGCTCTATGAAATTAAGACCAATTTCTTGCATTCATGTAACAGATCAGTCAGAGCACAAAGCATATGTGTAGTCTGAGTATTGCAAATACTTTGTGCCTTTGGAGGCGGAAAGGGGGTTATCTTATCTGGACCAGATGAGGAATGCAAGCACAGGAAAGGAACGTTCCAGGAAATGGAAGGGCGGGGGGCCCATAAGCTGGGAGGGGAGAGGGAGGAGGGGTGGAGAAAAGTGGAGGTGCTGAGTCATGAAACAGTCAATCAGAAGTACATTCCAAAGGCCCACAATGGCCAGGTCTCCTGAGCTTCTCTACCCTCCTTGTCATTCTTCTCTTTCTTATAAAGGAGCAAGCAGCCTATGCAGAATATGTAGAAAGTTGGCTGGTCTCCAGCTTAGCTCAGTCTTCTTTTGCTGAGCTAAAGTTATGTATTATTCACTCAGTCGTGGTGAAGGAGGAGACAATGTGGTATGTCAAAAGGAGGATTGGAGTTGGAGTCTGAGGACCTGCATTTGCTTCCTGATTCCCATCTTCTATTTACATGACTTTGGAGGTTATATGCCTAGCTCACTTTTCTTTTTTCTTTTTCCACTTAGTAGTATTTTATTTTTTCCAATTACATATAAAGATAGTTTTCAGCATTCATTTTTATAAGGTTTTTAGTTCCAGATTTTTCTCCCTCCCCAAGACAGCAAGCAATCTAATATAGGTTTTATTTGTGTGTGTGTGTGTGTATGTATGTGTAATCATGTTAAACATATTTCCACATTAGTCATGTTATGAAAGAAGAATCAGAACAAAAGGGAAAAAAAAATGAGGAAGAAAAAAACAAAAAAAGTGAAAATGGTACGCTTCCATCTGCATTCAGACTCCATAGTTCTTCCTCTGGATGTGGATAGTATTTTCCATCATGAGTCTTTTGGAATTGTCTTGGATCATTGTATTGCTAAGAAGAGCTAAGTCTATCATAGTTAATCATTGTTGCTGTTACTGTGTACAATATTCTCCTGGTTCTGTTCACTTCCTTCAGCATCAGTTAATGTACATTTTTCCAGGTTTTTCTGAAATCTACCTGCTCATCATTTATTATGGAACAATAGGATTCTATTATGTTCATATACCGCAACTTGTTCTGCCATTCCCTCAATTGATGGGCATCTCCCCTCAATTTCCAGTTCTTTGCCACCACAGAAAGAGCTGCTATAAATATTTTTGTACATGTGGGTTCTTTTCCCATTTGTTTGATCTCTTTGGGATATAGCCCTAGAAGTGCTATTGCTGGGTCAAAGGGTATGCACATTTTTATAGCCCTTTGAGCATAGTTCCAAATTGCTCTCCAGAATGTTTGGATCAGTTCACCAACAATCTGGTTCACTTTTAATAGGAGGACTCACCTCCTCTGTAGAAATGCATTGGGAAAAGGCCTTCCACCATTAGAAGACCACCAAGCATCCTCTCAGTAAAGGCCAAATGAAGTTGGGAAAAACAATCTCTAGGGTGACTTTCCCATCACTTACCTGTGAGTCTGCTCCCTGGATGATCACCTGCGTGTGACTGCTTGGAATAGCAGCTCTGTGGGGGGAAGCACATGCTATAAATAGCCTTTTACAAGGTGATTCATTAGTTTAACAGCATTAAGCACAGCCAGGGCCCAAAGCTCCCCCTCACATGTCAGCTTCCCATCTGCAGTAGAAAGTACCATCATGGTTTTCTGGAATTGAGATGTGACTTCTCTCACCCACTCCTTGTCCCACTTCAGTGCCAATTTCTCATTTCTTCTCAGGGCACCTTTGTGTGCAGTCTAATGGTCAATGGTGAAACCCCCTTGAAGCCAAAAGACTTTATAGTTTGAACTTATTCTCCCAACCCACCAAGTCAGTAACCTCACAGTCATCTTGGACTCCTTCCTCTTCCTTATCCGCCCATGTAGAAACCAAGTCCTGTTCATTCTATTTCTCGTGTATGTCCCCTTATTATCATTCTCGTTGCTGCCACCTTCCTGCTTCCATTGCTTCCACCTCTCCTCACTCGGATCCACCCTGCACACTGTGCCAGTGAGTTTCCTACTGCCCAGCTCTGATCGGATCACTTCACTTTGAGCTCCAGCACCTTCAGTGAGTCCCCATCGTCTCTTACACGAAGCGTTTTTCCCGGCATTCCATGCCCTGTTCAACCCTCCCTTTCCTCCTAATTTGATTCAATAGGGCATTTACTCAACGTGAGTAGGGAGAACAGCACTCTCCCTGCCCATCAGAGGCTAGTTGAGGAATATGGCACATGTATAGATAAATCCAATACTCAATAATATGTAACTGCATAAAATTAGTGTAAGAAAAGTACTGTGTGAGGTCCCATGGCAAAGGGTGTACAGACTGAGGTACTTGCAGAGGAGGCTTCCCGGAGGAACTGGAGTTTCAGTTGGGGTTTAAAGTATAAGTAGGATTTAACAGATGGGCCAGGCACGGGGAGCAGGTTAAGCCAAGGTGTGAAGGCAGGAAAACGGGAGACCATTTCTGGGGAGCGGTTACAGAAGGCAGGCTGTATTGGTGACTGCTGGAGCAGGTCAGTCAGAGGAAGCCATTGCTAGGTTTTGAGCAGGAGTAGCATGGCCACTGCTGGGCATAAGGGGAAGGCAAGTCTCATAGGAAGATGTGAAGGTTTAGAAGCTGGGGCTGGGGAGGGGAACATTCGAGATGAGATCAGAATGATGAGGATGAGCTGAGGCTCCTGAAGAAACCCTAGGACTAGGAAGCACTGTTTTGGTCTGGGATGATTTTTATTTTCTAGCAGTATTCAGGAAAAGGGAGAATTAAAGAAGGTTCACTTCTCAGGGTAGATAGGATTATGAGAACTGACAAGAAAGAAAACCTCCCCAACATATTGAACTTGGCTTGTTTTCTCTGCTGAGAAGAATCATCCTGGGACTGGAAAGGATAGAACAGAAATGCTGCCTGGAAAGCTGAAGCAAGGAGCTTGGGTACCCCTCCCTTCCAGGGCCCGCTCCAATCTCCCCCAGGTGAGGGCCTTGGCTTCTTCCTCTGTTCTCAGAGCTTTTTGCTTTCCCCTCTTTTCTTGCCTCTGTTCCTACTTCCTAGACTTCAGCTCCTCGAGGGCAGGGAAGGGATGGTGCCCTCAGCTTTGTGTTTCTCCCAGCTCTCAGCACAGCAGGCCTCATGCCTACTCAATGCTTACTCAACATTTGGATAAATGAATGGCTTTCAACCTTTGCCCAGAGCCTCCTTGACTCACCTCCTCCTCCAGATAATTTTTGACGAATGCCACAAAGCCAAAAATGCCAGCTCTACCAAAATGGGCAAAGCAGTATTGGACCTTCAGAACAAGATGCCCCTTGCCAGGGTTGTCTATGCCAGTGCCACAGGTAAGGACAGTCAGACCAGCCTGGAGGCAGGCCCCTGACACCCGTCCCTTGCCATGGGGGCCTATTCTCAGCTATTCTCTTAGTATATGAGAAAAGGAATGGAAACATTGGTGACACTGAATGCCACACCAGTATTTCTAGTGTCCAATCAATACAATTCAATTCAAGGAGCAGTGGAATAGGGGTTGGAAACCCTGAGGGTGAGTCCTGGCTCTTCTGCTTCCTTCCTGTGTGACCCTGGGTTGAATCATTGCCCTTCCTGGGCCTCAGTCTCCTCTTTTGAACTAATTATCCATAAGGTCACTTCCCGCTCTCATAGTCTGCCTTGATTTCATGAACATGGCTAGTCTCTGTACCAACACAGAGAGGCAAAAAAAAAAAAAAAGTCACACACTCTCAGCAGTTTCCTTCTGATAAGGATCTTTGCACCTTGTGAAAACAGTGCTGAGAAGTTCTCCATAGAGTCCCTCACCAGGTGCACAGCGTCAGCCTCATCAGCATGAGATAACCTCGCTTGAAGCTTGCACCATCTTGGAAAAGCTGAGATGTGAGGGCATCAGTGGTGCCATTGAACTTTAACGCTCTGGATGATTTGTAAAGCTTCTTATGTGTACAGTATCTCATTGGATCGTCATAGGAGCCCCAAGAAGGGAGGTAGAGCAATTGGGAGTCTCCTTTTCCAGCTAAGGAAACTGTGGCTTGTTTTGTTGGAGCTAATTTCTTTTTCAGCAGGACTGTTTCCTTGGACTCCATCTGAACCCCAGATCCCACCACTAAAAGGGCCTTACAGCAGTGATGATCTAGTGTGGGGTTTCGTGGACAGATTTCAAGGGGTTCATGAACTTATATGAGAAAACAAAAATTTGTCTTTGTTTTCCCTGACCTCAGACTGAGATTTAGCATTTCCTTCAATTATGCAACAGATTACAAAGGGGCTCCATGGCACAAAAAAAGGCGAAGGATCCCCGATCTAGTCCAGTTCCATTGTACAGACGGGAGACTGAGGCAGAGGGAGTGGGACACAGCTTGCCCATGGCCACACAGGGAGCTTGTGTTCAAACAGGTGCTTGAGGCTGGATCTGCTGACCCAGGTGTCCTCCCCCGGGGTCACACGTGGCTGTGACGGTGCCGGTAGATGGAGGGAGATCATTGAATGCCACTCTCATATGTTTGCAATTTTTTTTCCTCCTGTGAGTTTCACTTCTACAGTCAGTGAATTCTCAGGTGACTAAATGTCATCTCAGCAGAGCCTTGAGAATTGTAGAATTTTGTTTGCAGTTGGTTGCCAGAGAATGGGCGCCAGGTGCCCCCTGGTGACGAAGATGTGCAAGTGAGCCAAGAAGGCTGGTCCTGCATTCCCATTGGTGATGGCCTTAAGTAGTCAATATCATGGTCTTTAGAACTGAAAGGGAGGCTCACATTCTTTCAGAGTCTAGCCAAGGGCTCAGATTCTTAAGATCTGGTCTGCTTGCATTAGCGATATAAATATTCAGATGCCTTAAGAGTCTGGCCATATGGTGGATCTCTAATAAATCTTGTCTTTGGCTGGAATAAAAAAAAAAAAAACCTGAAGGGGAGCCAAGGTGGTCAAACTCAACCTGTCCTTGATGCGGTTGAGGAAATCGAGTCCCAGAAAGGTGAGATAACTTGCCCAGGTGGCCCAGTAGCAGTTGGGACTTATGATCAGAGTCTCTGAAGCCATCCACGAACCTCTTATTGGCGGCAAAAAGTTATCCTGCTTCTGCGTGACTCTGTTCGGGAATGCCTTCCATTTCAGGGAAGTCTGTTGGATAGTCCGGCCATTGGAAGGTTGTCCCTTAAGGTTGAATCAGAAACTTCCTCTTCCCAAGCCCCTCTTCTCTGTCTAGCTGTCTCTTTGCCTTCCGTTTTGCTGCAGTAAGATTCCTGCCCTCACTTGGTGATACTCTGTAGTCTTTCACACAGCCTGTACTCCCTCAAGGAGAGATTTTACCCTCCAGAGATGTCCACACAAGGAAAACAGCCATAGTCTTTTGGATGTTTGAGTCCAAACAGTTTAATAAACAGTTTTGATAGCTGTTGTTCTGAAATCAACAGTTGTGCCAGAAGCTTCTCCCCTTCTTATTATCACTGTGCTTTGGCGTGGTTTCTGTGAGGTCGTCAGGATTGGCAGAGATTTTGCCCAAGTCCCTGGCCCATCTAAACATTAGTCTTCTCCCCAGCTCTCTTGCTGAGATAGAAGGAAAAGCTGTTTGCTGACAGGAGCTTTCTGACTCCATAGGTGCCTCTGAGCCAAAAAATATGATTTACATGAGCCGCCTGGGGATCTGGGGAAAAGGAACCCCCTTCAGATCCTTTGAGGAATTCCTCCATGCGATTGAAAAGCGGTAAGATGCATGCGGCCTCCACCTCATTTTCCCTGCCTCTGGGGGCATTGGATTCATGTTTAGTGGAGACAGTGAAAAGAATTGCCTCTGAGGTATGGGGTTCCCTACTGTACTGCTAATGGGGGATCAGGAAAGCCTGCAGGCCTTGATTTAGCCATGTGTGTCCATACTAAGAAACCAGTCACACGTGGGAAGTCTGAGCTGAAAGGGCCCTTAGGCTGCACCATCAAAGGCTGGCAGGAGGGGTCTTAGGACTTAGAACACTGGACCTGCCTGCTGTCTTAGAACATAGGAACATGGAGTCATGATTTGAGAGTTCCCAGAGAGGAGAGGCTAGTGCCCTCTGCTACCCATTAGCTGCAAGGATGCAGGGGTGCCCAGCTATTAACCAGCAGCGGCCAGCTTTCCTAGGGCCGTTCTCTAGAGAGGGGCTTCAGGCTTCAGAAGCAATTACAACTCTCTTTCCCCCTCTGCCTTGCCATAGGGGTGTCGGTGCCATGGAGATTGTGGCGATGGACATGAAAGTGAGTGGCATGTACATTGCCCGGCAGCTCAGCTTCTCTGGAGTCACCTTCCGGATAGAAGAAATCCCTCTCGACCCGTCGTATGAGTGTATCTACAACAGAGCAGCCCAGCTGGTGAGCATTGGTGGGGGCCCCCTCCCTGAACAAGATGACACCCCCCCACCCCATGACCTCTGCTAGTGGTGAAGAGTTGGCACAGAAACAGCCCAGAGCTTGCCGTGTACCTTGTCAGATGGCTAGACGGGGTGCTGCCCAAGATTGCAGGCCCACTGAGGGCTGGGGGCTCTCCCTTTCTGTTGTCACTGGGTTCTTGTTCAGGGCGTGCAGACTTATTTTAGGATTAGCTGAAGCAAATTTTAATTAGAGAGTCTTTTTAAAATATTCATTCCATAGCTAAATAGGAACAACCCAGGTTTTTTGGACTGAGGCTACTGTATCATGACAAGCACATGGTGTTCTGAATAGGAGAGCATGGAGCTGACGAGCTACCAAGAGAACATTTGTCTTGTCAGGCTCTGTGGTGTTGTTAGGGATACTCATTCCCTCCCCCAGTGCAAATTGCAGCCTCTCCAGGCCTTCCTAAGTGAGGCAGGCTGTAGGAGCCGCTGTAGCCAAAAGCTTCATGATCTGCAGCCTTCCTGGAAACGCTGGTCCTCAGGAGACAGGCACTCCCATGGTACTGGAAGCCTTTCCGGCCTGCAAGAATGTACTGGAAGCTGCTGCACTCATTTGGCCGTGCTCAGGGCCCCCTCCACTCCAAGATGAGGTGTCAGAGGCTGAGATAAGTCACTCCCACTCCCTTAGGCCTTCACAGATGTATAAGATGCTGAGAAACTCCTGAGGAGGGGAATTCTCTGCATTTTACAGACTGAGAACCCGGGGCTTGCCCAGGGACACCCTGTGAAGGCAGAGTCTTCCTTCCACATGACTGACATGGTCAGAGCCAGGAGGGCCGACTAGACCAACCCCTTGTGTTTGTAGATGAGCATCTCGAGGCCCACAAAGCTGCACTGACTTGCATAAAGTCCTACCATTGTAAGAGGCAGCAGCGGGGTTTGAAACCCATCCTCTCCCTCCAAGTCCACTGTCCTTTCTGCTGTACCGTGCTGCAGCATCCCATAGTGAAGGACAAGTGGTTTACAGACACAGGGATTGCCTCGGCCACATTGGCCTAGGTAGGTAGTGAGAACAGAATGTGGCACCGAGATGCGGAAGATTAGGAAAGAAGTTGGTCAGGGTAGGCTTGTTTGTGTGTGTGTGTGTGTGTGTGTGTGTGTGTGTGTGTGTGTGTGTGTGTGTGTAACTTGTTTGCTCTCATACCAAAACATTCGGGCCCTTCAGACAACTGAGAAATTCAGCACCCAACAGACAGGCCCTTGTTGAGAGCATGGGAGAGTGAAAATTCTTTGTGGCCTCTGAATTGTTAGGATTTTTTTTCTTTGAAAAAGAAAAGTGTGTGTATTTTTCTGACTTAAAATTACTTCTGTCACAAGCGAATGAATGTCATCAACAAAGAAGGTCTTTGAGCAGGTTTCTTAGTGTCTTCAAACCCCAGGCCGTTTCCAGAAAGTTTTCCTTATTCCCAAATAAGACAGAGACTGATTTCCTCTGAAGCAGTAGCCTTGCAAGCCTTTCCTCTCTCCCATCCCTTCCTGGTGCATCCAAACCTCCCCTAGCTCTCACCTTGGCAAGAACAGGCAAATCCTTCTTCCCTTAATCTTCTTCCTTCTGTGGTTGCTTTCTCTGCAGTTCAGCCACCTGATAAAACCTGATTTTCCCTATTCAATTGGGTGGCCCGGAGTGCTACCACCTTACCCACTGGATTGCCCTGACCTGCTGGGATACCTTTCTCTACAGCAGTTAAAAACATTAAGATCCTGTTTATTCAGGATCCACGTGCTAGGGACGGAGAGGTTAGTGTCAGGCCTGGTCCCTGCACTTGATGGGGCTCAGAGACCTTCACAGAAAAGCCTATATTGCACATGTGAAGGAGAAATCCAAACAAGATAGGTGGACAGAAGGAAAGATCAGGTGATCAGGGAAGGACCTGGAAGGGTCCTGAAGCTGAAATTCAAAGGTAGAGGAGGATATCAATAGTTCTTGCTAGGCTGCAATTTCTCCTGACAGATTTTTTGCGTGTCTAGTGCTTAATAAATGTCTGTTGAATTGAGTTCGTCAGATTGGGGAGGAGGGGGTGGAATTAGAAAAATCATTTCCAGATATGTTGCGGGGAGAGGAAGAGGTGGGACGTCTAAAAGCACAGAGGAGGTCAGTGAACAATTAGTGGCCTAATTGTGCTGAAAGCAAATGAAGTGACATAACATAAGACAGGCTGCAGAAACAAGTTGGTGCCAAACCATGGCGTACCCTGAGTGCGAGAGTAAGGAACTGGTGCTTTATTTGGTAGCAGTAAGGAGCCACTCAAAGGAGCTCCTGCTTACATAGCAGGACAGCCAGTCGGAGGTGGTTAAGAACAAGAGGCCAGGGCCCGCTCACCTTCCCCCTCTGTGTCATTTCAGTGGGCAGAGGCATTGGTGGTGTTCCAGCGGGCAGCAGAGTGGATTGGCCTGGAGTCCCGCAAGTCCCTCTGGGGTCAGTTCTGGTCCGCCCATCAGCGCTTCTTCAAATATCTCTGCATCGCCGCCAAAGTCCGTCGCTTGGTTGAACTTGCAACAGAGGAGCTGGCAAAGGGCAAGGTATGGTTACAGATGCATAGGGTTAGAATTGAAAGGGACCAGAGACCTCTCCCAGGCTAACCTGCCTTGCTTTTTTTTTTTATCAGTAGAGAGATGGGCCCAAACAGGTAAAAGACTCCTCCCCAAGATCCCATAAATAATAAATAGCAAAGTTCAGGAGTTCAAACCCAGGTTTTGTGTCTATAAATACTGTGTTGTTTCTGTCCCCTCATACGATGATATGGACAAGCCTTTTAAAAGAACTAGCCCAGGAGAGGTGGAGGTGGCACCCACCTGAGACCCAGGCCAAACCTCTGTAAGGTTTGCATCCTCTAGAATGGACATGAGCTCCATCTCCACTGGTCCAGCCGGCTCGATCTCTCCTGCCACCCATCTCTCTCTGGGGCCTCTAGGGCTCTCGGCTGGAGCAAGGAATGAAAACCTTCCCTTTAGAGTCTGAAAGACCCTAAGTGGATTAAAAGCAGTTCTGCTAAGTAAATAAGGTGGCAAGTACATATATCAAGGAGCCATTAGATCTTTAGTATGTTTCCTCATGAACCTTCTGTGACTGGTCATCCTCTGATGACCAAACTTAGCTTCATGGAGCATTTCCATGCTGGTGTAGGACCTCCCCCTGAGCCTGTGCTCTGCCCGGGATGTGTTCTGTGGCCTGTGAGCCTCAGGGGCGCCTGAGGAGAGCATGAGTGAAGGAAGGAGTGAGTGCCCCCCAGATCTGAGCTAATCTGCCTGGATGTCCTGTGCTAGAGGGGCTGCGGAGCTGTGGGGTCCTTCGGCATCATGTCGCCCTGTCAGTGAGGCAGTGGGAGAGCCTTAGCTTCTCCCTGTCAGGAGGAGACCTTGGTGCCCACCTGAGCTCCCCACACTGCTACCTGTGGGTGCCAGCTTTGGCCTCAGCTTCCTTATCTGTAAAATGGGCATAATAGTTATCTCAGTTCTCCGAAGCTCTTTATGAGGAGAGTGCTTGTAAACCCAAGGACCACAGTTGTTGTCGTCATCATCATCGTTACTGCTGGGGTCAGGAAGGTCCTTGTGGCCACTCTTTGCAGGCCGCAGTGGCCCAGGTCCACTTTTGAACACGAAGTGGCTGCCTCTAGGCAGAGTTTGGTTGACCACTGGCTGGCAGTTCTGTAGGGGCCTGCAGTTCCGGTGCAGCCGGGCCTGGGGTGCCCCTGCCATTCTGCATGGTCCGGCTCACACGCTCCCTTCCTTTCCTGCACAGTGTGTAGTCATCGGGCTACAGTCTACAGGAGAAGCGCGCACCCGGGAGGTCCTGGATGAGAACGATGGGCACTTGAACTGCTTTGTCTCTGCCGCAGAGTGAGTAGGAGGGAGGAGGAGGAGACAGGGGCTCGGGAGAGAACCACAGACCTAGGCAAGGGGGGGTGGGAGCCAAAACAGCTCCTGGACAGGCCCCAGGCTTGGGGGGCTGCTGTTCTGAGTCTCACCCCTCTTATGGATGCAGAATGTGCTTAGATAACGTGCAAAACACTACATAGGAGCCACGTTCCAGCTAAAGAACATGTAACTACTACCCATCTGTAAATGGCGTGTCTCAGTCTGTCCCCCTCCCCCAGCCTGTCTGGGAGCTCTGTGTGACTTCACCAGTGTATCCATTGCAACCAGAATCCCTTTTCCCAAAGCTTAGAGGCTCCCGTGCCCTAGTGGCCCAAAGGAAATGGGCTAACGTCTCAGGGCTGGAGGAGTGGTGACCAACAGAACTGCATAAGAATTTTCATCTGCTGCTACTAATTCAAGTGGTTAAGTAATCAATCAATCAGTCAACATTTATCGGGCACCTTCTGTGTGCCAGGCATTGTGCTAACTGCTGGAGAGAGGAAAAGAAGCTACAGACAGTCCCTACCCTCAGGGAGCTTGCAGTCTAACAATAAGTATAGATCCCAGTTTAGAACCAGAAGGGACTTTAGTGCTTGAATCCAACCCCTCATTTTACAGATGAGGAAACTGAGGCCTAGAGAGAAAAAGTGAGTTGTCCTGGATCATACTAGTGATATGTAGCGCCAGTATTCACGTCCAGGTCTCCAATTCCAAATACAAGGCTTTGACCACTGCACTGTGCTGTCTCTCACTGGAGAGATAAAGGCACAGAGCGGAGAAGTCTGGTCATGCTGTGAATGGTCGCTTGGGCCTGCTCTGCTCCCAACTTATTGTGAGATCTTGAGCAAGTCACCTCTCATCTAGATCTTAGTTTTCCTGCCTGCAAAATGAGGGGGTTGAACTAAATGAATCTTAGAATTCGACAGAATGTCCAAGTTGGAATAGACCTTAGAAACCTTTCATTTCTTAGCCCTTCGTTTGTAATAGGAAGGGGAGATACTGTCAGTGCCTGCTGCCCTCCTGCTTGGTAGCTGCACCCTGCTGGAAATACCTGTCTCACCTGGTTTCCTCGTGAGGGCACCAGGGCCCACAGAGGAGGAGCGATGCCTTACCTAAGGTCACACAGCAGGGAAGTGGCTGAGCCAGAGGATGAGCCTGAGTTTCCTGGCTCCGTGCTTCTCCCTCCTTTCAGCTCTGCCATTCTGTGGTCCGTGATTCTAGGTGACGCTCCCTCCTCACTAGCATCTCCCCAGCCACTGTCTGTTTAGTTAGGCCCCAGAATCACATTTCCCCCAGCCCCTTCTCCCTCCCCTCCCGACAACCAAGTAGGGCACCCTCAGAAGACTCACCTTGTTGCTGAGGCTGTCTGCATCTAGTTGGCTGATTGCTGGCCCCTTCTCCACCCCTCATTCTACAAGGCAGATTTTTCACTGAGTGCCAGCTAGGCCATGGCACTCCAGATTTGCTTTGAGTTTCCCTTGCAGACTAGCTGAGCTCAGAACATAGAGAAGGGTGGATGCGTGTGGATTCAGGGAGGGAGGGAGGTAATTTGTTCCAAGAGGGCCCGGGCTGCGTGTCATGTGAGAGTGCAGGGGGCCTTTCTGGTGGGAGCGACCCTCATCCTGGTTCAGACTTCTCATGCCCCCACACCAGGCTTGGGGCAGCCCACACCAAGGCCAGGAAGGGCAGGACCCCTCTAGTCAGTGACCAGGTCATCATGCAGACACTGAGAAAGAGCTCTTCTTCCTTTCCCAGAGTCAGGCAAAGAGGATCACTCCCTAAATTTTTAAGCCAAAAATGCTTCGGTTGTTTCTTGGGAATGTTTAACTCCAGGTAGCCTATTTCCTATGAGGGTTAGCCCCTTGATTCCCCCCAGCTCTGGTGATCTCATAGGCTGTAAAGCCACTTCCTTTCCCAGTCCTCCCTCCCAGGCCTGCCCCAGCAGAAAGTCCAGACCTCGGTCTCAGCTGCTGCTTTTCCCCACATCCTTCCATCCCTCCTCATCCCCCCCCAGGGCTCTCATTCCAGACGTCCCGCATTGAATCATCTGCTCTTTGGTTTGCTGTCATGCCCTGTCTCCTTTCCACCTTCCTGAGTTCCATCTGTGCCCCATTCAATGGCCCTGCCTGTGTTTTGTCATCCTTCCTGTGTTACTTTGAAAGCAGTAATGTGTCTCCCATTGGGTGGACACAGACCCAGCACTTCTAGCATATATCCCATGAGACCAGTGGATTAAACCATCTCTCCATGGAGAAGTCACAAAAGACATACTTTGAGCAGCCAGACCCAGCAGGAACTCCCCATCCGAAACAACCCCCAGGCAGTGAAAGAATTCTAGACTTAGTGTCAAAGTCTTGGGTTCAAGTGCCGCTGTGGAACCATATGACAAGTCAGTTCTTTTAGCCTCAGTTTCCACATCTTCCCAAGTTGTTGTGAGGAAAGCACCTTTTAAACTAGCACTTGATCATTGAGAAATGTGAGCTGTGATCATTAATTTTCCTTATTGTCATTCATTAGCCACCCCCTGCCCATTGTGTGTTTGTTTGTCTATGTATGTCTGTGTCTGGTGGGGGGGATCTGTATGTGGGTCTCTGGAGTGTTCTGCCAGTCATGGAGCCCCTCACAAGTACTCATCTTATATATCATTTGCTCTGCTGCCCATCCCCCAAAAGACCTCCCCTCCACGAGGGGACTGAAATCCCAGTTTTCTCTGGAGATCTCCACGTGGGATGGCATCGCCACGATCTCTGCTCAGGAGATCCTAAGGCCTTTCTCCTACTTCTCTCACTGGAACTCTTGGGTTCCTGATCAGCCATTGTTAGCGTGTTCATTTTTTTATGTTACTCTCTGAACTGACCACAGATCCGCCCCAGTTACTGTTCCCTCTTCCAGAGAACAGACCCAGACCTGGTGCCCTTCAGCCAACCAGCAGGTGGGCCGCTCCCCGACCCTCCTTTGGAGGCTGGGATGTATTTAGAGATGACCCTCTGTCTGTTCTGGTTTGTTCCTTCACAGACGAATGATAGCATGAATTGGGACTTTTGCTATAACAGATGCACCCCTCGCCCCCCCCCCCCCAGAGAGCTGCTCGAGGGCCACTGGACTAATCAGATCCCTTTCCTGCAATACATATTAATGCCCAATTGTTTGGACTCACTAATGGTCCAGTGAAAGCCACAGAAGGCAGAATTCCTCCCTTTTTCACACTGAGAAATGATTCATTAAGTTTATCTCTGCCCTTCTAATGAGATGTTCCTGCTGCCGCCAGCGAGAATAAATTGTGCATCTTACTTTCAGAGGCGTCTTTCTATCACTAATTCAGAAGCACTTTCCTTCAACCAAAAGAAAGAGAGACAAAGGAACTGGCATTAAAAGAAAACGTAAGACCTTGTTCCCCAGCAAACTCTGACCTCCTGCCCAGCGACTGTGGCTTGTTTGCTGTCTCCCAAGCACCTCTGCTTTTCTTGACTCATCCCCGCCCTTCATCCCTCCCCTGCCCCGCCCCACCCCTTGTCATGCTTCTGCTGCTTTCTCCTCTTGATTTTGGCCGACTTTTCTTTGTGAAACCATCTTCCAGCATTCACCCAAGATATGGAGCCTACCTGCCCTCTGATTCCCCCTTCCCCTCCTGCTTCCCTGTCCTTCCCTCGCCTGCCAGAGAAGCCTTTTTTTTTGTTTTATTTCCAAGCAATATCTCCTTCCTCAACCTGCCATTCCCTCCTCTCCCCTTCCTCTTCCCTCCATCCCCAAGGGAGCCGGACCTGCCTGAGCCAGATGCTAGTCTGCAACCTAGCTTGTGAGAGACCCCATCAGAGGAGGGGGGAGGCTAGAATTCTCCCCCACCCCCACCCTTTCTTCCTCCTGCCTGGGCAGACAATTTCAATGCCCTGGCCTGGCCATCCCTTCACCAGGACTTAACTTGACACCCCTAATACAGATATCAGGGACCCTAAGCTTATGTGACTGCTTTATTGGGAATGGACAGATCCTGTTGGGGGGTCAAACCCTCCAGAACCTACACATCTAAGTACATGTCCTCCCTTGCAAAGTTGTTCCCCCAGGACACCCCACGCATTCCCAAGAGGCTCTCACTGCTCAGCAGCTCTGGATTTGCTCTTTTAGGAAGTAGTTAGAGGTCCCTGAGAACTGCCCTTGGGAGTCAGACTGGCACCTTCCACTCAGGCCTTAGGGCCAAGTCATGGACTGGCTCTTAACCTGGTTCTGATCTGAATTCCCAAAGCAAAACCCCAGAAATAAGAAGTCTGGGAGCCCTGCTGGCGTCCCTGGGGGGCAGCTTCAGAGCAGCTGCCTACAGTTGGGATACGCCTTTTCTGTGTGTTGGGGTCAGGAGGAGGCAGGGCTCAGTCCCATTTATTTACCTTTCCCTCCCTCCCCTTACCCTGGCTTCCGTGCAAGGTAAGATTCTGGTTTCTGGTCTCGACCTTGTTATTTCAGCTCATTTCCTGCCAGCTGGACCCTAACTGTGTAGGTCCTGTCTATACACAAGGGAAGGGGTCAGGAGCCGGCAAGAAGTGGCCAGGAGTTTGGCCGCCAGAGATGCCCTAGCTACACATTCCCAAACAACCCACTGTCCCCCAGAAACTGACACAAATGTGTAAACAGCATGTGTGCCATCTACAATCCCCTGGATCACGAGTAAGCTGGGGCAGCCTGTCACCAGGGATGCTTTCTCTGTAAAGATGCTCTCAGGGAGACAGAAGGCAACCAAAATAGGTCTGCAGTCACTCCTGCTGTGTCACTGGGTCCCCGGGGAGCCGAGGACAGGCACGGGGAGGGCTGTGGCCATCCCACATGTAGCAGATTCGAGTGGGCAGATCATGCTTTCTCTCTGTTTCCTGTTCCTCTTTTTGGGGGGAACCCATCACTGCTTTGGTCTCTCTGACCATTTTTTTATTTGAGGAACCCTGGGCTTTCTGGTGACTTCTCCTCTCTCTGCATCTGCGCTTGCCCTGCCCGCTGGCCAGAGTGCCCACCCTCCACCTAGTGACGCCGTCACTCGATGCTCCTTCTGCAGGGAAGCCCAAAGGCCGGCCCGCCAAGATCTCCAAGATGGTGTGTGAGTTCCCAGGAGTCATCAAGATCAGTGACGACAGCAGCACGGACTCCGACCTTGGACTTGACAGTGACTTCAACTCTTCCCCGGAGTCCCTCATCGATGATGATGTCGTCATCATCGATAACCCCTCTTCAGATGACAGAGGTAGTGCTTTGGTGATGAGGGAAGAGGGACATGTTCTAGACTGCCCAGACACAAGTGGCTTTTGGCCCACTGGGTGACTAGTCAGTATTTCCGATCCTTCCCTTGAATCCCAGTGACCTGGAGTCAGGAGAATTATCTTTAAAGCCTAGGTCTTCCTAGCTGTGTGACTTTGTGCCAGTCACTTAGCCACTGTGAGCCTCGGTTTTCCCCTCTGTAAAGTGAGGAAGTTAGGCTTAATGACCTCTAAGGCCCTTTAGGCTCTGAAGGTCTTTGATCCCTTGCACATGAGGTGAGAGCGTAGGTATAAGTCCTTTCCCCACTGAGCAGGTTAGGCTGCTATCCTAGTCTGGTCCTAGGCCAGACGTTCTTGGGGCTGTCTGTGCCCATGGAGAACAGCTGGGCTTGTGATCCTTGAGGGAAGAGCTGTGAGGAAGACACCTTGTAAACATAAAATGCTGGAGAGAAGCCAGCCAGCACTGCTATTAGCCTTCGCGTTTTTCTTGACCTGCCCAGCTGTCCTTTCCTCTCCCAGGAATCCTTGTCTGTTCAGCTTGCTTCTGGTAAAAGACTTCTCACCTCTGTGCTTGGTGAGGGTCTTCTTCACTCCCCAGCTGGTTTGCCTTGAAGGACAAGGAGGGTGTCTAATACAGAATGTGCCTCACACAAAGGAGATCCCCCAGCCAGTTGGGTGGCTCTCATGTATGTGTAAGCTGTCCTTGCTGCCTGAGTGGCCGCCCTCTCCTGGAGTCACAGGGACTGCAGAGGGCATCTTGCCGGTCAACTCCGCCCCGTCTGACTGCTGCCGCAGGAGGTGGCCCGTTCTACTGCATTATTAGAATGCTTTACCTGATGGTGAGCCAAAGCCTGCCTTCCTATAGCTTCCTCCCACTGGTTCTGGTTCTGGTTCTGCAGTCTCGGGCTTCCTCATGGAAACAGCTTGGAAGAGAGCCCTGGATTTGGAGTCAGGGATGAGGCTTTGATGCCATTACTAGCTTTGTGACCTTGGGCAAGTCACTTGACATCTCCTGGCCTCAGTTTCCTCATCTGTAAAATGAGGGGGTTGGAGTAGGTGGTCTTTTAGGGCTTTTCTAAAGCTAAATCTTATGAATTATGACAACCTTTCAAATATTTGGAGACAATGATCACGTGCCCCGAAAATCTTCCTTTCTCCAGGCTCCCTACCCCTCACCACCAGCCCGACTCATTCTGGCTTTTTACATTTCCTCTTCCAGGTCCTTTGCACTATTATGGTTCCCAGAGGGATATCCACGGCCCTGGGGTGCTGGAAAAAGTCGAGAAACTGAAACAGGACCTTTTGGCCAAAGTCAGAGCACTGGGCAGAGATCTACCTCTCAATACCCTGGATGAGCTCATCCATAAGTTTGGAGGCCCTGAGCACGTAGCGGAGGTGAGTGCCTTGTCAGCGAGGCCTGGTACACTCTGCCCGCATAGGCTGCCTCTCCAGCATGGTTAGTGGCAAGCCTCTTGCATAGGAGATACCTCACCAGGCTCCAGCTGGGGCAGAGTTCCTGTGGGAGGTTCCAAGTAGTGCCTTAGTGATGACGTGAGAGAAAGGGATGTGTGCTGGACTGTCCAGAGCTGACTTTTCCCCTCAGTATTCATTATGTGACTCGGTGAGTAAAGCTGGAGGCCTTGGGGGACTGTGCCACCATTTCCCCAGGTGCTAGTTCTGTCCACCCTTTCCTGTCTAGCCTGTTATGCCCCAGCGTGGGTTCCTGATAACACCTTGGTCTGATTGACCAGTCATCGTTCTGGGATCTTTTCCATAGGGCTAGCTTAGGAATTGAGAGGGCAGGTCTGAGTTCAGGTCCTAGGTCACTGGCCAGGAGCCTTGTTAGCCATCCAGGGTTCCCTGAGCCCAAGCCTGAGCCTCACAGGGATAAGTTAAAGAACCATAGCAAGCAGAGCATCCTGAATTTGGGAGAGACTACACATGGCGTACCTGAAGTGTGGGTTACTTCTCTCGTGCCCCAGATCCTGGTGTTCCCTCATCAGTACCTTTTGAGATAGCCCATCCCATGCGTGGGCAGCTAGTTAGGAAGTCTTTCCCCCAGTGCTCCTGGTCCTGCCCATTAGGGTCAAGCAAGGCAAGTCTGTTTCCTCTAGGCGATGACAGCCTTTCAGATACTTGGATGGCCTGTGGTAGCCTCCCTAAGTCTTCACTTCTTCAGGCAGAACAGCCCAAACGCTTCCAGCCATACCTCCTGGGCCTCCCTTCTTCCAGGTCAGCTTCTTAAATGCCCTCCAGATTGCCCGCATCACTTCTAAAGTAGGATGCTTGGGTCAAACAATAGGCAGAGTGACCCCTGCAAAGCAAAGCAAGCTCCCCAGCCCCTCTAGGGTCTAGACCACCAGGTCCTAAGCAGGCCTTTCAGCCAGCTGGTGCCACCTGCTGGTCAGTCATGGCCTTAGGTGAGCCTGGGGGGGAGCAGAGGACCCAAGGAGCCTGAAGTACCTGTGTGCTGCACTGGGGGGGCAGAGAAAGCCTAGACTAAGACCCCCACGACCCTGCCCTCCGGTGTCTTCATTTCCTCCTGGCCGCCTCTGAATGTCAGCTGAAGGCCTAGGCAGTATTTCCCAATGAGTACACTGCAGAAATGGTTCTTGCTTTGCAGCTCTGCCCCTCTGGCAGTAAAAGTGGGAATGACAGCCAGTGGGGGTTTGTATGAACATAGAATTTAAGGCTGAGGAGATCTTGGAGGCCCTCTTGTTCTGTTTACTGATTTAATTACTGGCCAGGCCTTTGGTTTCAACAGCTTGGGGGGCTCCTGGTGAGAAATTTCTTCTACCAGATAAAGCCAGGTGGCATCATGCCCGTCCTCTCAGAGAGTGGCCTGGCATGCCGAGGGCCTGAGTGATTTTGTACAGTCGGTGTTCACAGAGGCAGAGCCTGAGCCTGGACCTGCCACCTGTGTCTGGCACTATTCACTCGCCCATGCTGCTGCATTAAGGCCTGGAACAACCTTGCAGGGCATCCCGAATGAGGTAAATACTCCCTCAGAAGAGCTCGGCCTTGCTCTCTACCCATGTGGGTGCAGAAAGAATGTGTGTTAGCACTGAGATGTAAAACAGATCCATCCTTGCACACATTGTAGGTTAGCACTGCCAAGGGCCAAGGAGCCCACTAGCTTCAGAATTGGGTTAGACGTATCCAGCGAGCTGCCAGCATTTGGGAAGTAGGGTGGCGTGTCCAGTGACCAGCCAGCCCCTTAATGTTCCCTGGCGCAGAAGCCCGGCATGCGTAGATAGATCAGAGACAGAGGAAGGGGCCACTACCGTCATTGAGTCCAGCATTTTCACAGCTGAGGTCCACACACAGGAAGGCCTTGCCCAGGTCCTACAGCCAGTAAATTTCAGAGATAGAGTTCAAATCCAGGCCTTCCTGATGCCAAGTCAAGCGCTCTGTCCACTGCGCCTCCCTGCCTTCTCTCTTGAGTGATGCTGAATGGCTGTGGGTCATAGGCTAACTACAGTCTCTAAGAAATCAAACGTGCAAGTACCCCCAAAGGCAGCCTTTTTCTGAGCCTCAGATTTCTCCCCTGTAGTAATCCTTGTATAACCTGGGTATCCCACAGGCTTGTGATGAGGAAAGCCTTTTGTAAGTCCCAAACGACATTAGAGGGGCAGCTAGGTAGCACAGCAGATAGAGCACTGGCCCTGGAATCAGGAGGACCTGAGTTCAAATCTGGCCTCAGACACATAACACTCACTAGCTGTCTGACCCTGGGTTTAACCCCATTGCCTAGCAAAAAACAAAAACAAAAACAAAAAACTGTGCTAACCAAACGACATTAGAGGTGGTTATCCTTTTTAGCACCTCCCCCATCCCCTGTAGCACACCATGTGAGTGTCCATTCTTGCTAACAGCCTCTTCCCTCTCCCGGGATACAGATGACTGGAAGGAAAGGCCGGGTTGTGTCCAGACCAGATGGGACAGTCACTTTTGAGTCACGCGCAGAGCAGGGCCTTTCCATCGACCACGTGAACCTGAAGGAGAAAGAGCGTTTCATGAGTGGAGAGAAGGTGAGTTGGGCCTTAGCCCCAGAGGTGATAAGGAGGCAAATGGAGCCTTGAGTTAGGGAAAAACCTTCCTAATGATCACTGCTGATTGGGCTGCCCCAGGCAGGCCTTTGGGCAAAGGCTAGGTGACTGCCCCTCAGGTATGTTAGAGCAGCAGTAGGTGTGGTCTGGACTAGACTGCTGTGGACGCCCCTTCCAGCTCCTAGTACCTCCTAGTACCTCCAGGTCAGCCCATCCCATTGTCAGATCACTCCAGGTGTCAGGAAGCTACCTCCTTTCCGCCATGTCAGTGTCCATCCCTGGATCATCTCAGTGGGCCAGAGATCCCGTGAAACTAGCTACCTTTATCTCCCCACCCACTCACCCCCTCCATGCTTTCTTTTTTTCTTATTATTTTATTGATGCTTCAAGGGTTTCATACCTGTTACTTCTCATAGAAGCCTTTCATAACAAAGATGATTCAGCAATACAAACAGGGCAGTGCCTGCAGCTGATAGAAAATGCAGCCAGCAGTCTGTCCCCGTAGGCCACCGCCTCTCTAACAGAGAACACCTTGTGGACGATCTGAATTCCGTAGTCATTGTAGGCATTGTGTGTCCACTTGGTTCTCCTGCCTTCCCTCTCCCCGGGTGTTTGTGAATTCTTCATATTTGTCATTTCTCTCAGTGCAACAGTAGCCCTTTATGTTCACCTTCTGTGGTTTCTTCAGGCCACAGTCAGTGGGTCCCCATTGTGTCTAGTTTTTTGGGACAACACGACTGTTTGGGTCTGTGTAGGACCTTTCTTTATACTTACAGAGCATTTGCTCTCTTTGAGTCTCAGAGCAGAGTCAGCAGAGCAGTTGTTATCATCCCCATTTTACAGATGAGCAAACTGTGGCACTGATTGGGGAGTAGCAAGGCCAGTATTCTGACCAGGGGCAGCTCTTACCACCAAGCCATTCAGCTACTTAAGAAAGAGAAAGATAGTAAGCATTTAACCAGTGATTTATTCATTCATTCTTTTTTGAAGGCAAGCCCAGGGAGCCTCACTGAATGACAGCCGCTTGACCCTTTTCATGATGTTCTTAGGAAGCATTTGGGAAAATGTAGAGTGCATGTATCAGGACTGGTGAGAGGGCAGGCTCCAAAGAGTGGTGATTCATGATTCGGTGCCCCTCAGGTCCCTTCCAGCCCTGACTCTGTGACCCATGGGTGGCATGCTCATGAAATTTAAAAGTGACCCAGAGCCCAGCGGGACAAGCTAAAGCATTGGACGGCCCACTCAGATGCCAGAAGCAGCTCAGAAGGGTGGAAGATTGGGCCAAGTCTATTGAGGTGAAGTTTAACAGAGATAAATGTGAAAATTCAACTTCACAAGCACAGACTAGGGAAAGCAGGCTAAGACAGTGGTTTGGAAAAAGAGCTGGGCATTTGAGTGTTCCACAAGCTCAGTGTGAATTAACAATATGATGGCCAGAGGAACAAATGGGATCGTTGGCTGCAGACCCCTGGTCAGACTCTGTCTAGAATACCGCATTCAAGTTTGGACATTGGGAAGGATGACATGGGTATGTTGGAGAGCGCCTAGAGCGCTGGGGCCAGGAGAGGGCAGGAAGGGCCTCAGGGTCATGCCCAAGAAGAACCACTAGCAGAACAGAGGCCTTAGGGAGGACATGGCTGTCCACCAGCATTTGGACAGCTGTCCTGCGGAAGAAAGAACAGGCTTATTTTGCTTGACCCCAGGGGGCAGAATGAGGACAATGACAGACAGATTTAGTCTCAGAGTCAGAAATGACTTCCTAAGAGCTAGGCATGCAATGGCCGCCTGGACAGGAGGTGTGGCCCCTTCACCCAGAGGGCTTTGAGCTAAGGCTAGAGCATGGGCTGGCCAGCCAAGGCCTGGGGGCCATATCTGTCCCGCCACCTGCTTTGGATATGTTAAAATAAAGTGTTATCATATTTAAAAATACTGTAAAAGCCTCTGGCCACACAAAAGCAGACTCTGGGATCAGACTTAGCTCGTGGGCCCTAACTGGTGGCCTTCAAGCTAGATGATCATTAGTGACTTGGGAGAGTCTTGGTCAGGTGTGGGCCGGACTTTGTGGTAGAATGCTGAAATGTTGTGATTTAGGCAGTCCCCTAAAGGCTCCCCTTCAGCTCTCAGTCCTGTGATCTCTGGTGGATTATCACTGGGAAGTGGACCCTGACTTGTGTTACTGCAGCCCCAGAGGGCCTGCTGAACAAAGGGCAGTAGACGCAGGGCAGCCGATTTTGGCTAGATGAAAACTTGCCTCACTCGGGCTGCTCTTAGGGCAGCACCCAGCAGAGCACAGATAACAGGTTGTTGAAGACACCCCAGCTTGGTAGGGCCGTGCTGCCATTCGGTGATTCTGGGAGCAGACACAGCAGCGGGTCTCCTCTCTCCCTCAGCTTGTCGCCATAATCTCAGAGGCCTCCAGTTCAGGGATCTCCCTGCAAGCAGACAGGCGGGTGAAGAATCAGAGGCGCCGGGTGCACATGACGCTCGAGTTACCCTGGAGCGCCGACCGGGCCATCCAGCAGTTTGGTGAGCACCAGTGAGAGGGTTTTGCGCCTGTTAGGGTCTCTGTATCCCCAGGGGCCTAGGCAGTGGTGGGAGGGGATCCCCAACTTCATTCCTGGTTGCAAGAGATGGAAAATGCTGAGGGACCTTGGCTTAGCCCTTCCAAAACTGAAAATAATCTGCCCCTACACTTGTCCCCATCTCATTTCCCCATTTCTGTTGATGGCATCACCTTCCCAGTTATTCAGGGTGAAAACCTCAGAATTTTCTTTGATCCTTCCTACTTATCTCTTCTCTCACGTTTATTTGTTCAGGTATTTTAAGCACCTACTATGTACAGTGCTTGGCACTTGCGAAAAGACCAACTTAAAATAAAACATTCTCAACCTTGTAGTCCCTGCAGTCTGGCAGAGGACTTCACTTCAGCAGATGCTAAGCACCCTGAGCATGGGGCTCAGAGCTGGGAGGCTTGGCACAGTATAGCCAAGAGAAAGTCTCTGTCTTCATGAAGCTTACAGTCAACCAGAGGCCACTTTGGGTCTCAACATGGCCCTAATCATAAATTGGTTAAAAAGAGAGAGAGGCAGAGACAGACTGGGAGAAACAGAACGATGGAGAGAGAGAGGTCGAGATTCACATTCTGTCTCCACTGTTTATATATGCTACCTGTGTGTCCTTAGGTCTCTTAAATTGTCTGAGCCTCATTTTCTTCAGCTTTTCCCTGAGGGCCTTGTCTCTAGATTATGTCAGTGGTCCTTCTTTCCTAGAATCTGTGGTCATGGGGGTATGACAGAAACACGGAGGCAGAGGGAAAGGGGAAAGCAGGTGCCAGTGGAGGGGGGATGAGGTGGGGGACACTAGAGTGCCCTTTGTAAGTGTGGAAAAGCAAAATGAGCTTTGGATTGAGTCTTTCAGCAGACATTGTTAAGCACTTCCCCTGTGTTCAGAGCAAGGGAAGGCTTTTTATGTGTGGTTAACACCATGTCTCTGCCAACACAGATTAGTGTGTGTAAGGTCTTGGGAGAAGGTCATTGTCCACCAGAGGGGTCAGGAAAGGCTTTTTGGAGAAGCCTTCACTTGAGTTGGGTTTCAGAGGAGGGTTAGGAAGCAGTGAGTGAGTGACGAGGGTGAGGGCAAGTATTCCAGGCCTCAGGACCACGCTGAGCCCATGGTGGGTTTGGGGTCAGAGAGCACCTTGGAGTGGCCAGAGGGCAGCAGTCTAGATTAGGGAAAGGACCCGCAGGAGGTTTTGAGCAGAAGGATAAGGCCTGATTGGTCAAATCTCCTCCCCAAGGCTATGTCTCCGCTTCTCCCACTGGGGTTTAGACAGACCTGCATTACCTCTCACCTGGACCATGGGCAGGCATAGCTTTCTGCCTGATTTCCCCCTTGGCAGAGCATCAGAATAATCCCCTAATTCTTGGGAAGTAAAACCTACCCAGATCTCCCTCTAAGCAGATGTCTTTACCTTTCCCCCATCACCAGCTGGGCCACTTCCCCATCCAGGTACTTAATCCTAACCTCCATGGGGTTGTTTCTTTCCAGGTCGAACACACCGATCGAACCAGATCTCAGCTCCTGAGTATGTCTTCCTGATCTCAGAACTTGCTGGGGAGAGAAGGTTTGCCTCCATCGTTGCAAAACGTTTGGAGAGTCTAGTAAGTTTTCCACAATTGCCTGGATGAGCTTCACCCTGCCCCTCCCCTCAAAAGCGTCGCCCTTGCAGGGGGGGGTCAGGGCTGCCTAGATGCTGGTGAGTTTCCTGAAATGAAGCTGGATCAGCCATCTTCAGTCCAGTTTGTGACTGGGCATGACACAGGATTCCAAGTCCCTTTCAGGCTGTGATAACTGACCAGGATGACTCAGGCCATGCCCGTTAACCTTAGGAGTGCCCTCCTTCTTTGTCACCAGGACCCCTGGGCCTCCGAAGCTGTTTCTCTAGATAAAGTTCCATGATCCTTAACCCAGAGTTTACTGACTTTGTGATGTTTACTGGGCCTCCCTGGATAGGTTTTGCTTCCTTCCATCCTCCCACAATCCCACAGAAGAAGGTTCCCTTGGCAAACAGCCCTCCTGCTCTCTCACACAGGGTGCCTTGACCCATGGGGACAGAAGAGCCACAGAGTCCAGGGACCTCAGCAAGTATAACTTTGAGAACAAGGTAACATGCACCCCAGCCGTCAGGCATCCTCGTGGCGGGGGGCTGAGCGAAAGAGAGGTGTAGGTGTTGGCCAGGCTAGAGGTGTCTTGGGAAGGGCATTAAACTGGCAGTCACCTCCAGGGGATAGCTTAAAAGCTGTCATTTCACCCCTGAGCCTCATTTTCTCCATCAATAGAGTTCATATTTATAGCCCCTCCTCAGCCACACAGAGTTGTTGAACAAATAAAATATGCTTTGTAAACTGCAAAGTTACATAAACGTGAGCCTGGACTGACCCTTTCTGACCGAACCTCAAGCTGGGTCCCAGTCTGTCTGCAGCCCCCTTCCCTCCTCCTTCCACTGGGCTCTGAGAGCCAGGCAGAACTGTCCCAGGGCCGGCGCCTGACAGATGCCATCTCTTTACAGTACGGAGCCAGAGCCCTGGACAGAGTCTTGTCTGCCATCCTGAACCAGTCTGAGAACAAGGTCCCCCTGCCCAAGCACTATCCAGGAGGAGATGCCGCCTTCTTTCGAGGTGAGCCTCGGGTGAAGGGATGGAGAGAGCCGACCCTTGTGAAAGCCCTGCCTCTCAAGAGGAGAGTGAGGGAGACTGGGCAAGAAGCTTAGCATCTAGGTCCTCAGGGAAGACAAAGGTACTGGCCTGGGGGCCGCAGGAGCTGTGAGTTCCTCCGCCCCCTTCCCTACGCAAAGGGTGCCCCTCTTACCATCATCACCACCACCACCACCACCACAGATCATTGTTTATTCAGCTCAACAAATAATATTTATGGAATGGCTACTATGTGCACAGAGCCATGCTGGGAGAGGAAGTTTAGCCAAAGTAGCCCCCACCCTCATAGAGCCCCCACCAAGTGGTGACCTCCCATGAGGGAGAGTCCACCCCTACCTTTTGAATAGCTGTTTGGTAAGAGGTTTTCCTTATATTAGCACTAGGTGGCACCATAGGACCTGGAATCAGGAAGACCTGAGTTTAAACCTAACCTCCTGCAGACACTTAGGAGCTCTGTGACCCTGGGCAAGGCAATAAACTTCTGCCTGCCTGTTTCCTTATCTGTAAAATGGGGATAATAGCACCACCTCCCTCTTAGGGTTTGTTGTGAGGATCAAATAAGACAATATTTCTAAGTACTTTATAAACCTTAAACACTATGTAAGTGCTAGCTATCATTATTATTACTGTTCATTATTTTCAGAACTCCATCATTTTGTCTAAATTTGCCTCTTTGCCACTTCTCCCCATTTTTCCTCATCAGGTCCTCTGGGGCTGATCAGAATGGCGCAGTTTGGGGAAAAGGCTCTGGGTTGGAGGCCGAGGGCATGGCTGACATCCCTGGCACTGCCTCTTACATTTTTACCCTCTATTTCCTCACCTGAGAAATAGGGAGATTACACTAGAGGAGATCCTTCCTAGCTCTGAGCCTGTGATTGCCTCAATCTTCTTCCATGGCCCAGACCTTCAGCTTCTTGGACAGTTGCCCTCTTTCTCTCTCCACCCCCCTAACATCTTCTCCTCTTCCAACTAAACATTATTCTGGTTGGGGGATAAGGCACGCTGATGTCTCTGATCCACATCAGAAGTGCATTAGAGAAGGACGGGACAAAAAGTACTAGGAAAAGCCCCCATGCAAGCCTGAGACTCTAAAATAAGAATCATCCAGCGGAATGAGGATAGGGACTCTTGTCTTTGTACCCCCCAGCGCTGTGCCTGGCACCTACTAGGGGCTTCATAAATGCCTGGTGTCTGATTCACAGGCAAAGGAAAGAGGAGGACATTCCAGGCACAGGAACTTAGCTAAGCAAAGGTTTGGAGGCAAGAAAGCCCAGGTCACAAAGTTGATTTAAGCATGGCATACCTAACAGGCAGTAGTATGCAATAAGGCTGGAAAGGTAGAAGGGCCTTGAAGGTCGGGCACAAGAGCTTGAGCAGGACTTGGGAGGTCCTACAGGCCTTGAAAAGTGTGATAGTTCAGAGGGCCCCAGCCCCAAGAAGGCCACAAGTGTGACAGCTCTGGAAGGCCTTAGGAGGGCTGCGGGCTGAGTTGGTGAAAGAAATGCCCTCCCCTCCATCCAAGACAGCCATTAGGCTGTAATTATAAGCTCGGTTGGGCAGGGTAGGGAAAAGGCACTGGGGCAGGGACAAGGTGGAAGGGAGTAGACCTCTCAGGAGATCCTGGCAGTCTGGACCTGCTACCTTTGGGTCCTTGTGTCAGGCCTAACATCGGGAGAGAAGAAGCGTGCCAAGACCAGGTCTCAGTCTGCCAGTGACTCAGAGCTCAGCCGAGAGGCAATGTATGTATTGAGAGAGAAACTAAAAGGGACCAGAGGTGGTTAGCTTTTGTTTTTGTTTTTGTTTTTTAAAATCACAAAACCCAGTGAACCACAGCAGTCCCCCTCTGATGCCACACTGGGGTGTCGAGGTGACCCTGAGCTCTCCAAGGGGCTGTGACTGTTAAGCCCAGGCTTAGGTAAGGGTCTGGTAATGGGCTAGGTGTCCAAGGACCAGCCTGGCTGAGGGTAGAGAGGCTCAGCCCCAGAAGGCTGGCCCCCAGGCGAAACATGAAGGAGATAGCGGCCTTTTGGAGGTGGTACCCCAGCCTGGGGAAATCAGGGACACTTGAAGTACTGAGAGCTGGGCTCAGTTCTGGCCTAGGTAGAATGAGGTCATGGTCAAGGAAGACTTCCTGGAGGAGACAGACTGAGGCTGAGCCTTGGAGAGGAAAGGACAGGACTCTGCAGAAGAGGCCGAGGCTGGGGTGTGTCATGGGGCACGTTTGGCCTCAGTGGTGGAAGGGCACCAGGGCACCCCTCAGGGCCGGGGGAGGTGAAGGGCTGCTGCTCAGCATCTTGCACCTGTCTTTGCAGAGATGAAACAGGGCCTGCTGTCCGTGGGAATCTGCTGCCGAGAGATGAAGTTTGGCTGCATCGCTGTCGAGAAGGGTGAGTCCCAAGGAGGAGGCGGGCCCGGCAGGCCCTGCTGTGGGCCAGGGCTCTTTCCATTGCCTGCAGAGGGCCGTTGCGCCAGAACGGCCACTGTTCCCCCAGCCAGCCATCTCCTGCAGAGGGCATCTCCCCTGTTTTATCCTGCTCACACAAACATATGCTTCCTTGCTTTTTCTATGCCCTTTTCGTCTTTGTAGCTAGGGAGTACAAATTGCTGAACTTTTCCTAAAGGCCACACAGTGTGTTAGAAAAAGCCCTAGACTCCAGAGCACTGTGTTTGAATCCTGGCTGCAGTGCTTACTAGCTGCGTGACCTCGGACAGGTCCCTGAACTTCTGAACCAATGCAGGTTTCCTCATTTGTAAAATGGGGGTAATAACGCTCTGACTTCCTAGCTCGGCTGCAGCTTTAGCAGAGTGAGCAGTCAGGTGACGCAGTGGATAGTGTGGAGTCTGGAGTCAGAAAGACCCGAGTTCAAATCCAGCCTCAGACACATACTAGGTTTGTGACCTTGGGCAAGTCACTTTGCCTCTCTCTGCCTTAGTTTTCTCATCTGTAAAATGAGAATAACAACACCTACCTCCCGGGGTTGTTGTAAAGAACCAGTGAGATAATGTTTATAAAGCACTTGGTGAACCTTAGAGCCCTGAGTGCTGGGTATTGTCAATTGTTGTTATTATTATTCTGATGCATAAAGAGCCAGCCTAAGAGCCAGAGAATCCTAGGTTAGAGTCCAGATACCTCCTGTGACCTTGGACAAGCCCCGAGCTACTCTAGGCACCTCTAGGACAACAGGTTTCAGCCTGCGCTGACGGAGGGAGTTTTCTCCTCAGGGAGTACCCTCTGCCAGTGAGATCACAGGTGCCTTCACCATCCCTGTATTGAGTCTGGGGGAGGTCCTTGGCTAAATCTCTACAGCTGAGTTACTGGTATCCTAGTGGCAGATCTTGCCCATCCTCATGGGCCTCCTCGGGAGGCCTGGGCTGCTGAGTGCTGGGGACTGGGTCTCTGGGCTCTGAGCTGCCTCCTCCCCTCTCCCTCTACCTCCCAGACTGCTCCATCACCAAGTTTCTGAACCGCATCCTGGGCTTGGAGGTGCACAAGCAGAACACCCTGTTCCAGTACTTCTCGGACACCTTCGACTACCTGATCGAGAAGGACAAGAAGGAGGGCAAATATGACATGGGCATCTTGGGTAAGAGAAGAAGCGGCGTTGTTGAGGGCCTCGCTGAGCCCGCCAGGAGGGGCGCCCTCCCTGGGACGATGGGAGCCACCCAACCTTCCTGTGATGCCTCGTGGATTTTGCTAAATCCCAGTCCAGGCCAAAATAGAAAGTCCCCAAAGTAGGCGGCCCCCTGAGGCATCATTGCTCTGCAAGGGACAGCACCCTGTGGAGAGTGATGTCTGAGGTGCGGGCTTATTAATTAAATATACAAATGTCGCCCGTCCTGGAGGGATAGCTAGCATGTTCAGTGACAGAGGCCCAATCCAAAGACAGCCTGACAGGCCAGAACATCTAATAAGATGAAACCGAGTAGGAATAAATATAGAATCTTATATCTGGTGAAATTGAGTGGGTTTATTTTTTATTATTGTTTTTTTTTTTTACAAATTTCTGATGTCACCTTTTGATCCAGCAATACCATTACTAGGTATGTATCCCAAAGAGATCATAAAAAAGGGAAAAGGACCTGCGTACACAAAAATATCTATAGAAGCTCTTTTTGTGGTGACAAAGAACTGGAAATTGAGGGGATGCCCATCAGTTGGGGAATGACTGAACAAGTTGTAGTATATGAATGTGATGGAGTACTATTGTGTTATAAGAAATGATGAACAGGAGGATTTCAGAAAAACCTGGAAAGACTTGTATGGACTGATGCTGAGTGAAGTGAGCAGCACCAGGAGAACGTTGTATATAGTACCAGCCACATTGTGTGATAACTAACTTTCATAGACTTAGCTCTTCTCAGCAATGCAAGGATCTAAGACAACTCTAAAAGACTCATGATGGAAAATGTTATACCCGTCCAGAGAAAGAACGATGGAGTCTGAATGCAGATGGAAGCATACTGTTTTCTTTTATTGTTGTTTTTTCTTTCTGATGGTTTTTCCCTTTTGTTCTGATTCTTCTTTTGTAACATGACTAATGGGGAAATAGGTTTAATATAATTGTACATGTATATCCTGTATCAGATTGCTTGCTGTCTTGAGGGGAGGGGTAGAAGAGAAAAAAACTTGGAACTCAAAATCTTATAAAAGTGAATGTTCAAAACTATCTTTACATGTCATTGGAAAAAATAAAATACTGTTAAGTGGGAGAAAAACCAACCAAACAAATTTTCGATGTCTTCTGTGCTTCAGAAAAACATAGTTATCTCAATTGTCCCTCTCCATCCCAGAGAATCATCCCATATCACAGATAGTATTTTTATTTTTTTAATAGTATTTTATTTTTTTCCCCAGTTACATATCAAGAAAAATTTTAGCATTCATTTTTACAAGATTTTGAGTTCCAAATTTTTCTCCCTCCTTCCCCTCCCCTCTTCTGAAAACAGTAGGCAGTTTGATATATTTTATACATGTGCTGTCATGTAAAAATATTTCCCTGTTAGTTACAGTTGTGAAAGAAGAAACAGATCAAGAGGAAAAAAAACACAAGAAAGAATAAAGTAAGTGAAAGAAGTATGCTTTGATCTGCATTTAGAGTCTGTCAGTTCTGTATCTGGGTATAGATAGCATTTTTCTTCGTGAGTCCCTTTATACTTGTCTTGGATCATTGTGTTACTGAGAAGAGCTTCATAGTTGATCATCACACAATGTTGCTGATACTGTGTCCAATATTTTCTTGGTTCTGCTCATTTCACTTTGCATCAGTTCATACAAGTCTTTGCAGGTTTTTCTGAAATCATCCTGTTTGTCATTTTTTATAGAACAATAGGATTCCATTACATTCATTTGCCACAGCTTGTTCAAGCATTCCCCAACTGATGGGCATCCTCTCCATTTCCAGTTCTTTGCCACCACAAAAAGAGCTGCTATGAATATTTTTGTACATGGGGGTCCTTTTCCCGTTTTCATGATCTCTTTGGTATACAGCCCTAGTGGTGGTATTGCTGGATCAAAGGGTATGCACAGTTTGGTTGTTCTTTGAGCATAGTTCCAAATTGCTCTCCAGAATGGTTGGATCAGTTCACAACTCCGCCAACAGTGCGTGCATTGGGGTTCCAATTTTTCCACATCTTCTCCAGCATTTATCATTTTCCTTTTCTGTCATATTAGCCAATCTGATACGTGTAAACTGGTACCTCAGACTTGTTTTAATTTGCATTTCAAGTGATTTAAAGCACTTCTTCATATGCCTATAGATAGCTTTGATTTCTTCATCTGAAAACTGCCTGTTCATATTCCTTGACCATTTACGTATAGTATTTTTAAAGAGGGAATCAGCAGTGATTGATACATTGAAAAAGTCCAAAAAGCTGTGTAGTGTGTAATACCTGTGGACCTCCCATCTCCTCAAAGGGGGATGGCTTGGGAGTGCACTCTCCTATCTCCTCATTTGAGTTCTGCTTGATCTTTAGAATTCCCTTTGGGGGGGCAGCTAGGTGGCACAGTGGATAGAGCACCGGCCCTGAAGTCAGGAGGACCTGAGTTCAAATCCGGCCTCAGACCAAACACTTGACACTTACTAGCTGTGTGACCCTGGGCACGTCACTTAACCCCAGTTGCCTTTAAAAAAAAAATTCCCTTTGGGGGTGTGTGTGTGTATGTGTGTGTGTGTGTGTGTGTGTGTGTGTGTGTGTGTGTGTGTTCCTTCCATTTACATTGTTGTAGTTACTGCATATATTGTTTTCTTGGCTGTGCTTACTTTATACTGCATCAGTTCATATAGATCTTTCCATGTTTTCTTTGTATTCATCACATAATTAATTAGTATTTAATTACGTGCATGTGCCGTGATTGGTTTAGCCATTCCCCAGTCAATGGGCATCTACTTTGTTTCCAGTTCTTTGCTATCATAAAAAGTGCTGCTGTGAATATTTTGGAGCGTATGGGGACTTTCTTCTTAGCAGTGGCTTCTTTGTGTGCATCAGCCCAGTACTGAGGTTTCTGGTTCTGAGGGTAAGGATGTTTTAGTCACTTGATTTGCATAATTCCACATTATAGTTTTCCACAGCAGCTACACCATCTCATAGCTTCACCAGCTCATGTGTCAGTGGGCCATTCTTTCCACAACCACTCTAACGTTGACTGTTACACTTTTTGGGGTCATTTTGGCCAATTTGCAGGGTGTGAGGGGAAACCTCAGAGTTGTTATGATTTGCCTTTCTCTTATGAGTGATATGGAACATTTTTTCATGTGATTGTGAGTACTTTGCAGTTCTTCTTTTGAGAACTATTTGTTTCTATTCTTTGACGACTTATATAGTCTTGTGTGTGTGTGTGTGTGTGTGTGTGTGTGTGTAGTTTTGTTGCTTATATTTTGTTTATGTTTCTTGGATACCAAACCCTTATTAGAGAAACTTGATACAAAAATGTTCTTCCCATTTTACCACTTCCCTTCTTACCTTAGGGGCATTAGAAACTGGGGTTTTTTTTGGCCCCAGGAGAGGGTGGCAGGAAGGGTTACTAGGTGAGGGACAAGGTAGCAGAGGTTGCCATCAAACTGTTCCTGAGAGTTCCTGTGATGGGCTCACTGGGCAGGGAGTGAGGTCTTCAGGCAAAGGCTCCATGACCACTTGGGTGGGTTGTTGGAGGAGCAAGCAGATCAGCCTCAGGAGCCTCTGATGTCCGTGGAGTGTCTAGGCCTGGTTCGTTAGGGACTCTGGTCGTGTGACTTCCTCCCCATTCGATCACCTGGAGAGGAGCAGGCCAAAGGGAGGAGAGCCCGATGGGCAGTGATTCCCCAAACCCTCACGTGCATCTCCCTCCTTCCTTAGACCTGGCCCCGGGCATCGATGAGATCTATGAGGAGAGCCAGCAGGAGTTCCAGACGCCTGGCCACCCTCAGGATGGACAGGTCGTCTTTTACAAGGTAACTGTGACCAGTCCGGGCCCCTCCTTCCCGGGAGCCCCAAACTTAGCCTCTTCTTCAGCATCTCAGCGAGGATATACTGGCCTGAGCCTGTCGTCTGGCCGCCTTCTTTCCCAGCCCAACAGAACATCTGAGATTTAGAGTCACAGGCCCTGAGTTCCAGTTCTGGCCCTGCTGCTCATACTTGTGTGTCCCAAAAGGACAAGTGACTTAGTTGCTGGACTTGGGTTCAGATCCCACCTCAGACATTTCCTGGATTAGTGAGCCAGGACAAATCATGCAGCCTTTCTGAGCCTCAGTTTCCTCATCTGTAAAATGAGGAGAACTTCATTAGGTTATTACACAAATTTTTTAAAAAAGGCCTTGCATGAAGGCCCTTCCAGCTCCATCTCAAGCCTGCACATGCATGGCTGAGTCTAGAACCCTGGACTGCTCGCTCAGCAATGCCACTGAGTGACCTCAGGCAGGTGCCCTCAGCCCCACCCGCCCCATGACCTCACAAGGTGTTCTAGACTCAGAAGTAGATAAACATCAGCCAATGAGCTGTGGGAGTGGAAGGCGTGATGATGAAGATGGCGGTAGTGGTAGGTGAGTCACTGTTACTGCTCTCCACAGATCAGTGTTGACCGAGGCTTGAAGTGGGAAGAGGCTTATGAGAAATCGCTACAGATGACCGGTGCCTATGACGGCTTCTACCTCTCCTACAAGGTGAGCAGCACAGCGGGCCAACTCTCTGTGTGCGGGGAGGGTTTCCTAGCATTCAGTGGTGGGTCGATTCCCAGAGATCATCCCATCCCTCCTGCTCCCTTTAAAGATGGAGACCCTCGGGCCCAAAGGCAGCCGTGATTTGCCCAGGGTCCCTCAGCTTGCCCGCAGCAGTTCTGGGGCTGGAGCCCAGGGCCTCTGAGCCCACCTCCAGGGCTCTCTCGTCACCATGCTGCCCCTTCAGGGGCTTCAGAGCTTCCAGAAGCAAGTCCGAGCCATGCCCTTCCCCCGGACACCAGCGAGGGACCCCTAGCTGTTCTGATGTCCTCGGGGTCATCATGGAAAGGTGCAAGCATCGGGGCTGCTGAGGCTGGGGGGCCGGTACCAAGAGAGAGAGTCAGGGAGCCTGGATCTCCATGGGTCCCTGCTCTTCTGGCCCCTGTCTCAAGACAAGTCACCCCCCATCTGAGCCTCCATTTTTTCTGAAATGCAAATGAGTGGTGGGCTGTCCCCTTCACTTAGCAGGCATGTAGCCAGGGTTGGGGCTTTGCCCCTGCAGCACAGAGAGGGTGCAAAGCCCATCATTGGGAAGTCCCAGGTGTCACTGTTCAGCACAGGTTATAGTCCCCTGCCCTCCCCACCGTCCCAGAAGCCCCCATGGCTACAGAACACTTTCCTTACAGCCCCTCAAAGATCAAGAGTGCAAATCATCCTCATGGCTAAAGAGGACGAAATGGAGGTTCAGAGAAGGGAGGTCAGCATGCTGGGATGCTTCTCAGATCATAGATAAGGGCTAGGAGAGACCTCAGGGTCAACTCGTCCAAGCCCCTGTGACAGAAGAGAAGGCTGGAGGAGCCAGGGAGGGCTGAACGTGAGGGCGGCAGCTGCAGACGGCCCTTGTTACAATCCTCTTGTATTAGGGTCAGTGTGGGGTGGTGGGAGAAGTGTTGGAGTTTGAGTCCGAGGCTCCTGGGTCCAAATCCGGGCTCTGCCGGTCACGTGACCTGCTCTGTGAGCCTCAGTTTCTTCATCTGTAAACTTACAGAGGGGATGGACTTGATGGTTTCCAAGGACCCTTCCAGCTCTAAATCTACGGTGCTGTGTCTGGGCTCTGTCAGGCCTAAGTTTCCTCATCTACCCAGTAAGTAGTGGGGACTGGCTCACCTCCCACTTTGATGTTCTCTGGTTTTAGGTGCGAGGCAATAGGAAAAGCTGTCTGCTGGCCGAACAGAGCCGTGGGAAACACTTCATCCTGTACAAACCCAATATCGGCAAGCAGAGCCAGCCCGAGAGCCTGGACAGTCTCTGTAGGAAGTACCGGCGGGTGAGTCAGGCCTGGCCATGCCAGCCCCTGGACAAAGGCCAGCAGGGCTGTGAATGTCCTCTGGTGTGAATGGTGTGCACAGGGTCCCGAGGCAGCTCATTGCATTGCCCTCATCAGAGGGATTCAGATCAGCCACAACAAAGAAGTTTCCAGGCTGTAGAGATAGGGTGAGTGTGAGTACCTCTGGGAGTCCCCAGGCACAAAGACCTGTCTGTTCTGGGTCTGAGTCTGTTGGAAGCAGAGAGATCCAGAGCTGCTTCCTGGAGGGGGGCCATAACGACCACAGAGTCAGAAGAGCCAGTCAGTGAGCATCTGTGAATCTCCTGCTGCATACCAGGCATTAGGCACCAGGGGCTCCAAAGACAAAGACTACGAGATCCGTGCTCTCAAGGGGCTCACATTCTGTTGGGGGAAGACGCTTCCCCTCTTCTCTTCTCCCCCTACCCCGGCTGTCCTCCTGGTGCAGCTTCCCCACGAGCTCCTCCTACCCACAAGCCTTCCTGATGTGCCCCCTCCTGGGCCTGCAGTTTAGAAGAGGCGGGAGTCCCTGTGCACCCTGCTTCTGGTGGAGGTGGGCAGGGGGCAGTGCTCTGCACTGCTGCAGAAATGCCAGTGCTTACGTAAAGCTGGACCCCCTCCCCAAAATGGGGCCGCCTTTGGTAACCAGTTCACAGGGGTGATTGGAGCTATAATGCTTCTGATGGCTCACACCCCTGAGCTTGGGGCTGACCCACCCTTTGAGAGGCATCTGTCTACACTGCTGCCAGGGGAACCCCAGCCAAAAGCAGGGGAAGGTCCCGAGGAAAAGGGACCTGCGATGAATCGGGGGCAGAGCTGACGTTCACCTCAGCAGCCACAGCCCTCCCTGCTGCAGACCCTAGAGAGGACCTGGGCCTCTCACCAGGGGTGAGCTCCCCTCCCCTGCCCCAGAGCTCAGGTGGCTCAGAGAGGATGGATGAAGCCCACCTCATGCCTTCCTCTGCAGGTGACGGCCGAAGATGCCAAAGAGCACTGGGAGAGCAGCTATGACTTCTCGCTGACGCATTGTAACCATGCTGTCTGGTGAGTGGGGGGGAGGGGACATGGCACAGGAGCCCCAGCCCATCCTGCAGACCCCTCCTCCAGGAAGCCATGGGCCCCAGACGGCCAGCCCAGGAGCATCAGGGGGAAGGTGGCTTGCTGTCAGAAAAATTCCTCTAGAGAGGAAAGCTTCACCAGTGTGGTGTGGGCTGCCTTGGGTGGGAGTGGGTTCCCTCTTGTTAGCAGTCTGCAGGTGAGGGCTGCATGGCTAATCATCAGGGATGTTGGGGAGGGGGCGGGTCTTGTTCAACTACAAACTGGACTGAATGGCCTCTGAAGGCTCTATTAAACTGAAATTCTGTGATTCCGTGAACATCAGAATTGGGAAGGCCCTTAGAAGGGGGGATGTCCTTCAGAGGCAGGGGGGAGGGGGGCCCTGAGAACAGAGTGTCCATCAGAGCTGGGGGGAGGGGGCCCTGAGAACAGTGTCCGTCAGAGCCCGGGGGAAGGAGAGGTGGTCCTTAGAACGGGGGTGGGGAGTTGGGGGGTTGCTGAGAGCAGAGGCCGTCCATCAGATACCAAAGGCTCTTGTCCGGCCCACCGCCTGACCCTGCCCGCTCCTGCCAGGAACCGACACTGCAGACTGGTCCAGGAGGGCAAGGAGTGCCTGCAGGGCGCCCGCCTGCGGCACTACCACATGCTGTGCGGGGCGCTGCTGCGCGTGTGGAGCCGCATCGCCAGCATCATCGCCGAGGTGACGAGCAGCAGCTACCTGCAGATCGTGAGGCTCAAGACCAAGGACAAGAAGAAGCAAGTGGGTGAGTTGGGGTGTGGTCTGGGAGGGGGCGGGGCTCCGCGCCTGGGCGCGGGCGGGCGCGAGCTTGGCGGTGGGCTCTCCCACAGGCATCAAGATCCCCGAGAGCTGCGTGCCCAAGGTTCTGGAGGAGCTGAAGCAGATGGATGCCGACGTGAAGCGCAAACAGGCCCGTGCGGCCCAGCCCCTGGGCCTCCCAGACCCGCTGCAGCCCTTCCCTGCGGCCCTGCTGGGCCCCTGGCCACACCTCTCCATGCACTCCAACCCCGGCGAGGTCCTGGACCTGACCTCCAGTCCCCTGGATGACGGCCTCCCCGGCGGGCTCCTGAGCCTCGACTCGGCTAGCCTGCCTTTCTCCACGCCAGCACCCAGGTTCACCTACCCCCCGCCTCTGGACGGGCCGGGGCCCAGCCTGACCAGCAGCCATGTGCTGCCCTCCCACGAACCCTTGCCTCTGCTGCAGCTTCGGCCCCCGCCGGACGACCTCACCTCCCAAGGGGACATCAACTTCAAGGAAGTCCTGGAAGACATGTTGAGGTCTTTGAACGTGGTGCCCCCGGAGAGCTCCCTGGGCCTGGGCCTGGAGCGACAGAGTGTCATCCAATTCAGCCCGCCCTTTACAGACTCCTAGGACCGGTAGCCCCTCCACCCCCTCCAACCCCCCCTCCACAGGCAACCCTTTATGCCCTCTGTGGCCGAGGAGGCGGCAGGAGCCCCTGGAAGGGGCTTTGGGAGGCACTAACATCGCTGTTTTAGGCTGTAAGTAGGAAGGGGGGACAGTGACTAGGAAACTATGTAGTTCCTTTTAAAACAAAACAATTTATTTATATATAATATACATTCACACATCTATATAAATATAAATTTTTTATGTTATCTATAAAGGGTAGGGGGACTGGATGGTTTGCATCCAATGGCTGAGGCCTCCCAGCTCGGTGATTTCCCCTCCCCCTTCTCCAGTCATGCCGTTGTTAAAAGGAATTGCCCCAGGTTTTGGGTGGCAGGGAACTCAAGGGAGTAAGTGAGCTGACCCCACACACACCCCGCCCATTCCCCTAGGCCTCAAGGGCCAAAGATATAGGAGAGGTAATGGGTTGCTGCACCCCATTATCTGTCATCAGGCAGACTACTGAGAGGGAAGGTGCCGGGCTGTGGACACCCTCACATCCCCCAGAGCGCTGGGAGCAGGGCTATAGGGAAGGGGTAGCCCTCCAAACTACCTTAAACTGACTTTCCTGATCCTACTTCCGGGGCCTGAGCCCAGGCTCATCGCCTCCTCCCAGCTCCGCAAGAGAGATAGGTCTGCCTGGGGAATCCACAGGAGAAGACATCACTGCCCTCTTCAGAAGGACCATAGCTTAGAATGCCAGACTGATAGATCTGAGAGGAGGGGACTTCACTGTGCCCAGCTCCCTCCCTCCAGAGATGAGGGAGCCAAGCCAGGACCAGAACCCACAGCTCCCAAGTCCCCACTCAGGGTTCTCGGCATTTCTCTGAGTCCCATCCTGAGAAAGGCCATTTAAACCCTCTGGGCACTGCCAGAAAGAGTCTGCCAGGGAAGCCGAGTCTGCCAGGGAAGCCGAGCCTTCAGGTTCTCTCTGTCCTCCTAAAGGGCCCCTCGTTCTCCCTGAAAAGAATCATGGAATATCAGCACTAGAAGAGGTGGTAGAGATCATCTAATTCAGCCCCCCCCCTCATTTTACAGATAAGGAAACTGAGGCTCGGGGCTCTCTCTGCTTCAGCATCCTCTGCCTCTGATTAGTTTCCTCCCGCCATCTTTCTGGCCTCCTAGTGGCTTTGTTTTCAGTCGTCTCCTGAGGAATCGGCAGACAGCTCACTCTAGCTGGGATGGTTGGTCCAGTTGGCCATTTAGAGAGGAGAAGGTTGGGGAGGGGGCAGTAAAGAGTGATAACGACCCCCCCCACTTGAGTCTTGAAAGTCTGTACCCCCATTATCTAGGGCCGATGAGTAGCTTATCCTGGCTGATTCTCCTCTTTCCCCACTTCTTCCTCCTCACTGTTTTTCAGGGGGAGGAGGGACAGGGGCTCAGGGGAGATGCTGAGTGAATGAGTTTCAGGGAGCTGTGGCTGGATTTTATCTGGATTTCTCTTCCCTGGGTCTCCACCCCTCGCCCTGACCTTGTGCCCAAAGGGTAGCAGTGGGTCCTTATCTCCTCTTATCTTCCAGGGCAGCACCATTCTGCTCCTCCTCTTCCTCCTCCCTCTCTATTTATAATGTCCCCTCTCCAGTGTTGGGGAAACTTGGCACTGATTGCCGGAACCCCCAGAACTGTGGGAGCTATAAACTCAGGAAAAACCGAAGGTGCTCTCTCTTTCCCTTCCTCTGTCTCTGTCCCCAACCCCCATGAGCAGGATGCTTTTCATGGGTGAATTTCCCCACCATCACCGCCTTTTAATATATGCAATTCTCTCCTCTAACCATATAGCACCTTCACCCCCTGACCCCAGGACAGGCAGGGTCAAATATCCGTCACTGGGGATTGTGCCCCTAAGTTATTGCCTCAGTCCTACTGATGGTATGTTGTGTGTGTGTGTGTGTGTGTGTGTGTGTGTATGTGTATGTGTGAGTGAGAGAGAGCGCCTCATGTCATCCCTTCCCCTCTGTGCACTTTGGAATCTGCTTGTTATGTTGGGCCTTCTTGGATTTCTATGTGTATTTATAATTAATTGAAATGTATATATGTAAAGAGATTTTTTTTTTAGAACATGTGCCTTTTGACTAATTCCTAAATTTTCTACTTGTACCTTACCTTGAAGAATAATTTTGCATTCATTCTGCTCAGTAAAGATGGAAACTCATGGGCCACCCTGTGCTGTTTGTCCAGTTGGGAGTCCCTGCTAGGGATTCTGGGAGGGACATCAAGAGGGAAGGTTTGGGGATCCCAGTCCCTTTGGCCTCCCCATTGGTTAGAGGCTTTCTTTGAACAATCATAGCATAACTTTAGAGCTCAAAGTTACCTTAGAGACGTAGTCTCTCCCTCATTTTACAGGAGAAAAAAGCATGTTCATAAATGGGAAATGACCTGGCCCAAGGTCACGCAGAAAGTCCGAGGCAGTCAGGACTAGAACCCAGTACTGTTGACTCTTCTCATTGCCCCATCACAACAGGCCACACACCCTTGTGAAGGGATAATCCAGACAGGAGACAACCAGGGTCTGAAGTTGTCCTCTCTCCACACATGCCCTTATCACCAAGCATGTATTAAGTGCTTTTTGTATATGTCAGGCACTGTGCTAAATGTTGGGGATGCAAAGAAAGACAAAAATAGTCCCTGCCCTCAAGAAGCTCTCCTTCTAAAGGGGAGAGAACATGCAAACAGTTATGTACAACCAAGCCACACACGGCAAATTGGGAATAATGAACAGAGGGAAGGCCCCAGACTCAAAGAGACTTAGGAGAGGCTTCCTGGAGAAGGGGGGGGATGTTAGCTGGGACCTCAAGAAAGCCAGGAGTAGGCTGTAAGGAGGGAGAACGTTCCAGTCGTGAGGGTTGGCCAGGGAGGTGCCCCGAGTCATGAGATGAGTGGCAAGAAGTTCAGGTGTCCCTGCATCACTGAGGGTGAGGGTCAGAGAGGCAAAGAAGATGGGAATGGTAGGAAGGGGCCAGGTTATAAAGGCTCTGTAAGCTAAACAGGATTTTATATTTGATCCTGGCAGTGATAGGAAGCCGCCGGAGCTCACTGAGGGAGTGACCCACCAGCAGGCTGCTAGTCCTGGTGTGAGGTGATGGGGGCCTAGGTGGCAGAAAAGCAGTGTCTCCAGGCGCAGAGAGGTCAAAGAAGGATGAGGACTAAGAAAAGGCCACTAGATTTGGTGATCCCTGGCAACTGGACTGATCTCCGGTTGTCCACCCCCAATCTAGTCTCATCACTAGTTGGCGATAGACCCATTTCCTATCCAGCTTCAGAAGGGCAAGTTTCCTTCTTAGGAAGTGAACAGCTGATAGCGTCTCACAACAGTATTTGGATTTCTAGACCGGGACTTAAAATATATGAATCTCCTTGGCTCTGGGCCAGAGGTAGAATGCACCTACAAAGGACTGGTAGAAACAGATTCCCTACAAGTCTTCCAAATGTAGTCCAAAAGGCTATAAATTTAAAAGGATGGAAGAGAAAGAAAGTTGCCTACAAGTATCCGCCAAGGTAGATAAAGGCGATAGTTAAAGTGTAGGAACACTAGCAGTCGAAATGCACAGAAATTCACAGGAAAAAGTCCTAGAAAGGAGCTAGCCAAGAGCCCATGACCTCTGCTGTGTGTACACAGATGGAACAGTGTGGATGACAACCTGACACGTGGAGGCAAATTTAACCCCCACTGGGTAAGAACTGTCTGGAACATGGCTCTAGAAGGCTATACCTTTTCCAAAAAGATCAAACTTAGTAAAAGGTCTGGGGAGCCAGTGGGAGGAGAGAAAGAAATAGACATAAATACCAGATATTGAGAATGTGTACTTATTAAGGAAATCCAGAAAGGCAAAAAAAGAGAGCACTTGGGTGATCGCCGAGGAGAGCAGAAACAAGGGAGAACGCTGTTCTACAGACCGCCGTGACAGAAAGGGGAAATGAATGAGTTCAAGAAACATAAGCCTGGGAGAGGCTTGCTGTGATCTGCTGGGGAATTTCACTTATTCAGACATTGAATTCAGAAAGTCTTTATTCAGCACAGACTATGAGTAAAGGCTCTGTGCTAGATGCTAAGGATATAAGACAAAAAAAAAACCCAAGCCTTGCTCCCAAGGCATTTACATGATATAACTGCCAAAACCAGTTCTCTGTCAGAACCAGGAGAACTTAGAAAACAGAATAACTCATTGCTGATAAAGAAATGATGGGGACGGGGATTGGAGGTCAGAGCACCACCCCGTCATAGAAGTCATGATAGAGTAGAGGAAAGCCAGGCACCCCAGATTTAGGGAAAGCATATTTCAAATGGTTAATAGAATAGAATCCAAAAAGACTTAATGTTCTACAAATGTCCAGGAGAGATGGATGGCACAATCTTGATCTTAGGAATGAACATCCAAAGACAAAACCAATTACAATGAGGAAAGGGGAGAGCTGTCTAAAGAGGCTGTTACAGATACACGGAGAGCTCATTGACCAGTTCAGATTTTTATAAGACAAATACAGGAGATGGAAGCAAGAGTGGGAATATCAATCAGTCAGCCTGCTTTAAACAGCTACTCTGTGCCAGGACCTGGGTTAGGTGCTGGCAATACAAAGTCAAAAGTGAAATAGTCCCTATTGTTATTTTTTTGGGGGGGAGGGGGTTAGGCAATGGGGTTAAGTGACTTACCCAGGGTCACACAGCTAGTAAGTGTTATGTGTCTGAGGCCGAATTTGAACTCAGGTCCTCCTGACTCCAAGGCCGGTGCTCTATCCACTGTGCCACTTAGCTGCCCCAATGGTCCCTGTTGTTAAGGAGCTTACGTGCCTATGGGGGGAGACCTATATGAATAGAAACAAATGTGTACAAAATAAACACATGAAAACAAGATCATTGGGGAGGGGGGATTAAGAAAGACATACTATAAGTGATGCTTCAGCTGAGCTTGAAGGAAAGGAGGGATTCTGAATGCATTCCATGCAAAGACAGGGGGACCAGAGACAGGGTGCCATATGAGAAACAGCAGTAAGGCCAGGTTGGCCAAACTGGAGAGTATAGAGGGAAGGGAAAACAAATCTGGAAAGGTGAGTTGGAGCCGGGCTTTGAAGTGCCAAACAGAAGACTTTGCATTTGGCCTCAGAGGGAATAGAGAGCCGTTTAAAATTGACTGAGTCACGGAGTGAGACGGTTGGACTTAAGCTTTGGAGAAATACTTTTGCCAGCTATATGGAGGATGGGTTGGAGAGAGGAGAGGCTGGAAGCAGAGAGACCATTAGGAGCTGTTGGACTAGTCCAGGCAAGACATGATAAGGACTGAGAGTCATGGTCATGTGAGGAGAGACAAAGGAATGGATTCTAGAGGTGTTTCAGGGATAGTATTGGCAACTGATTGGATATGTGTGGTAAAGGAGGATGAAGAAGCAAAGGATAACTCTGAGGTTGAAAACCTGTATGAATGGAAGGAAGGCAGTGTCCTCAGCAGAAAGGAGGAAGTTTGGGGGTGGAGGGGACAAAGGGAGGACCACGCATAATCGCTGGTTTTGACACACAGAGTTTGGGGTATCTATGTTAGGCAGTTGCCTGACGTGGAATTAGAGCTGAGGAGAGACTAGGGCTGATTTGAGAGTCATCCACGTAGAAATATTTAATTAAGCACCAAGTGATGGTGTAGGGAAAAGAGATTCCAAGACAGAACCTTGGAGGTCAGTAGAACTACTGAGAGTAGAACCAAGCAGGAACCCTTTTGTTAAAATCTAGAAAAAGGCAGGAAGAAAGGGTGAACAACAGCACCAGATACCGCAGAGGGGTCAGGAAGGATGACTGGGGAAAGGCCGTCAGACTGGGCCAACAACAAGATCATCGATACTTTTGGAGAGAGCAGTTTCAAATGAGTGTTGAGAGACCGGAAGGCAGACTGCAAAGGGTTGAGGGGAGGAGAGGGAGCTGAAGCAAGGAGAAGCACTGGTTTTGCTTTTTGCTTTGTTTTGTTTTCTCCCCCTCTAGCTATTTCAGAGTTTGATTCTGAAAGGGGAGAGAGAGGATGAGAGCATGGAGGACTGAAGTGGAAAGAGGGGTGTGTGTGTGTGTGTGTGTGTGTGTGTGTGTTTAGGTATGGGAAAGGGCTGGCCATTTGTGGGGGAAGGAACCAGTATACTGATAGGGAGAGATTGAATGTTGGGGTGCAGGGGGGTTGTGAATGTGGAAACAATCATCTGCCATAGAAGAGAGGGGATGGGATTAAGGATGCAACTGGAGTGTTTGGCCTTGGCCAAAAAAAAGCCACTTCACCAGAGACTTGAATGAAGGAGGAGAGAATGGAGATGATGTGAGGGGTCTAAGTAGGAGAGAAGAGGGGGCTGAGTGCCTCGGTGTTCCCAGGAATGTGGTCCTCAGCTCTAAGGGGATGGGAGGGAATGGTGTAGGAGGCTTGAGGAGGAAAGAGAAAGTGGGAACAACTACTGTATTGAGTGGGACTGACAACCAGCAGCGAGGGCCCGGGTTGGACAACCTTCATCCATGGTGGACTCATTCAGCACGGTTGGGTGATCTTTCTCCAGATCCGTTCAGTGGCATACAGTCATGGTGACGAGTCATCCAGGGCTGTGGTTTGGCAATACAAGTGGTGAAAGGAGAGAATGGGGGAGGAGAAAAGGTGGGGGTTCCAAGGGACAGGGCAACATGGAGCTGATCTGGTAAACTGTAGGGTCTGGAAGGGAGGAAACCAAAGCCAGAGAAGGGACGAGCTGGCAGAGCAGTGAGGAACTGGAAGGTCACGGTGGGGATGACGATGATGATAATAGCATTTATATAGCGCCTACTACATGCCAGGTGATATCTCATTTTGTCCTCACAACAACCCTGGGAGGTAGGTGCCATTATTATCCCTTTTTATAGTTGAGGAATCAGGCAGAGAGGGGTTAATTGACTTGTGAAGGGTCATACGGCTCTGTCTCTGGTCTTGCTCTTTCTACTGCACCCCCAGCAGAGAAGGACAAGGAGGAGATGGTGGGAGGGAAGGTAGGAAAACAAGTGATAGAATCACAACTTCAGATCATGGCTAGTACGATAGTCCACTTTGGCCGCTCTCTAGAACCTGTGAAGAGGAGTGAGTAATGAGAAATAAGGTGGAAAAGTAGATTAAAGCCAAATTAGAGAGACTCCTAAAGTCCAGACCAAGGACTTTGCATTTTATCTTCAAAG